GGAATGTGGTTCAAACATCAGGCAAATTTTGATTGATTTTAGACAAGTGAACCCGTGTGTAGATGTGGCCTGGGACGTTGTGTTCTACAGTTGTGCTGCATGGGCTTCCCCAAGCCGGTAGTCACATGGCATTCAACCGTCGTTAATCAAACTTTTAGCAGTAAAGACAAGGTAATTTAACGTTACTGCAAGTTGTCTGTAGCTAAAACGGATGAGCAGTCCTTAAAGGAAGATAAAAGCCAACATATTACGGCCAGACATTAATCTCAACTTTTGAAACAGTAAAAGGATATCCCTGAACGAGACATGTTTCACTTGATAAAACGTGATCTGCTGTACGATACCTAGTACAACACTGTCGCAAGCCTATCGGACATTCAAAATATTATTCCCAGGAGTATTTGATCGGGAATTTAACAAGATTTGTATACATCTTTGTCGTATTGTTTCGTAACGACATAGACAAGGGAGTTAACTGACTGTAAAAGTCCAGTCACTAAATTCCAGCGTAGTTCGGTAAGGGTGGAAACTGGTTCGTTGTATATATTCCGTTGTAATTTTCAGGATAATATTGACCCAGTCCCTTTCAGTTTTCGTCCATTTGACTTGCCGAAATGGCTGGCATTCCAATATGTATGTTACAGCACAACCGTTTATTCAGGGTATCAAATGTCACATTGCGTTGTCCTAGTCTAATACACCGATCTATACAGTAGGATATGTATGCCATTTAAGATAACATTTTTATCACATGGAGTGACCTATTTTGGTGTTCTTGTGACCACTTTATTGTCAACATCCACATTAATACGCATATAGGTTTCACTAATATACTAGCCACATAAAGAAACTGTGCACGGAGAAAATATAGATATAAGGGCACACCGTCCATATGTGAAATATAGGTTTGAACACAGCAATTATTGGAGACATTCAAACGCTCATGCACGTGCTATGCGATATGACGTCATTGATGGGGGCCTATGGACGTGCAATGTGTTACTACACGTGCATCCTGTGCAGCTGTACACAGCATGTGCAACTCAAAATTCGCTGTCACTTTGGAAAGCATGATCTGTGGTCATTCAAAAATTCAAAACTTCTCAGGCGCAGACACAAGCATATCACAAGCAAATCATGCCAAGATTGACAGCTGCACAGCGTCATGAAGCCATTGGAATGATCCAAGCGGGAATGAGGCAACAACAGGTGGCAACACATTTCCAATGCCATCGTAACACGATATCGGCATTGGTGAGGCGTTATCAGAACACAAATGACGTTGCCGACCACCCACGTTCAGGACGTCCCCGAGTAACGACGCCAAGACATAACAGATGGATTCGAGTTACACATCTCCGACACAGGTTCCAAACGGCAGTAACGACGTCCCAGACAATTCCTGGACTGCGCCGTATCCATCCCAACACTGTCAGGAATCATTTACGTCAGTACGGGATTCGACCACGACGCCCTGCCATACGTCCCACCCTGACACACCGTCATCGAGTCAACCGTCTAAGATGGTGTCGAAATCATGTTCGCCAACCTCGAATATGGTGGAGAAATGTTCCCTTTACAGATGAATCGAGGTTCAACATTTCCCACAGTGACGGGCGCCTACGTGTCTACCGGCGTTTGGGAGAACGTTATGCACGCAACTGTATTGTGGAGAGGAATCGTTTTGGAGGTATCTCTGTGATGATTTGGGGTGGGATAACAGCACGGCACCGAACCCCTTTGGTGGTTGTTCAGGGCAATCTGACCTGTGTTGGCTACAGAGATCAGATTCTGAGGCCTGTGGTCATTCCTTTCCTGCAACGTCATGGCCCGGGATTGACATTTCAACAGGACAACGCTCGTCCTCACACGGCTAGGGTCGCAATGGATTTCCTTCACCATAACAATGTCATGTTAACGCCATGGCCTGCAAATTCTCCAGATCTCTCCCCAATAGAGCATGTGTGGGATGAAATGGAGCGCCGTCTGCGTCGTCTTCCACATCCTCCAGATAACGTCCGTGACTTGGCACAGGATTTGAGGAGGATATGGCAGGCCATTCCCCAGGCCTTCCATGCCCGTTTGGTGGACTCCATGCGTCGAGGATGCACTGCTGTGATTCACGCACAGGGTGGTCATACCCGTTATTGACTTTGTGACTTTGTCATTTGACCCCCTACTCCATTTTGATCTTCTGACGTCATCGTAACAGATGTTGTTCAGGTCCCGTTGACATTTTCTTATGGTCCGATCATTCAGCTGCTACAGCGTCTGCATCATTTTGTTCTTGCAGTGTTGTATTTCAATCCAGAATATATTTTCTCCGTGCACAGTTTCTTTATGTGGCTAGTATAGATTGTTTTACATGCATTTACGATGTCACATGAAAACCGGTCTAAGGAGCTTGATCAAAGTGTAATTTCTAGTCTGCTGTGGGTTGTATTTTCGGGGTTAGTGACCTTCGGCCACAGCAGAACGCGATACAAAGAAGTGCCCGAAAGTATGTACAGAGGGATGGCATGGAGACAGAAACTGTAACTCGGGAGGGGATGTTTCACTGACGCTGATTACCTGTTTCTCATGCACCCAGTCCTAGTACACTGTGAAACAAGCATTAACATTGTCATGCCTTAGTCAACCTTCACCATGTCTTTCCCTGTCATGCCTTAGTCAACCTTCCCCATGTCTTTCACTGTCATGCCCTAGTCAACCTTCACCATGTCTTTCACTGTCATGCCTTAGTCAACCTTCACCATGTCTTTCACTGTCATGCCTTAGTCAACCTTCACCATGTCTTTCACTGTCATGCCTTAGTCAACCGTCACCATGTCTTTCACTGTCATGCCCTAGTCAACCTTTACCATGTCTTTCACTGTCATGCCCTAGTCAACCTTCACCATGTCTTTCACTGTCATGCCCTAGTCAACCTCCACCATGTCTTTCACTGACATGCCCTAGTCAACCTTCACCATGTCTTTCACTGTCATGCCCTAGTCAACCTTCACCATGTCTTTCACTGTCATGCCCTAGTCAACCCTCACCATATCTTTCACTGTCATGCCCTAGTCAACCTTTACCATGTCTTTCACTGTCATGCCCTAGTCAACCTTCACCATGTCTTTTACTGTCATGCCCTAGTCAACCTTCACCAAGTCTTTCACACAATGTTGGGAGACAGATGTGGGTTGGTCAATACAAACTGTTTTAGGATCATACATGATTTATCGGGTTATTTTACGGTACCACACGTCATTTCCCAGTTGAAGGAAATAAGTTAATGTTTCAGTGCATATGCACCCACTACACTCTAATTGGTAAGTCTACAGCAAGCCAGGTGACGATGCATGTCAGGATATCTTAATAGGTCGATGTGCATGATGTCACTGGATTTTCAGGTCAAGACTCAATTATTTGCCGATGTCATACAGCTGGAACATTGTTGAGTGCAGCGTTAAACAACAAACGAATAGATACAAACTATATAAGTTCAATAATGACACGAGTTGTTCTCTTCAATAGATCAGTAGTTACTGCTTGAGCGAGTATTGCTTCACCCTGCTTTGGTCACTTTTAAAACTCTATCAAGACGGTAAATTAAGAGCTGATGGAAGACAGCGTGTTTAACGCCGAAGGGATAACGTACGGCGGCATGTTGCGTTCAAGAGGTCGTGCCGTATGGTGGAGGGGTGTTATGGTGTGGGGAGGACTTTGTGGGCAGGGGAGAACACCATTTTCATCGTTAATGGAACTTTGACAGCTCAGTGTTACATGGATGATATTCTTTGTCCAGCTGCCTCGAGGTGTCCTTTATCAGCATGATAACGCCAGACCCCATGCCGCCCGAGTCGTGCATACCTTCCTTCCAACCAACAACGTCAACGTGTTGCCTTGGCCTGTATGCTCCCCAGACATGTTCCCCATAGAACACCTGGGATGTCATGGATCATCGTGTTCGATAGCGACCACATCCTACAGCCAAGCGACAAGAACTGATCCAAGCAATCCCAAAAGAATGGCGAAGTATCCAATTTGATGTCATCAGACATTTTGTGCTTGTCCTGTGGCAGGTGGTGGTCATACAGGCTATCAATGTGACGTGTCGTTGAACTTGAGCCCTACCCTATCCTAATTCGGGAAACTGTCATGCCAATGTCGGATTCTGTATGACAGTCATTGTAAATGCTGATTCCGTTGAGATTTGGAGTTCATATGTCTATCTTTTGTGGTTTGTAAACCGTCAGATGTTTCATCTATTCGCGGTGACATGTAACAGTATCATGACATGTCATTAGATCTAGAGGAAATTGAAGCTTGAAATCTTCCCCCAACATTGTTCATTCTCATAAGTAATCGCAATGACTGTGGTTGCATAGAATGAAATCAATGTCACTGGCACATCACCGACTGGCTATGCTTTAGTCATATGATATGTCACTTGATATTTGGGAAGGTGTTCTCTCCATGTTGTAGTAACCCAGCAGCTCACTTGGAAGAACACGCCCATGTTGTGATACTAGCACCACGTGCATCTGATTTCGGGGTGCCATATTTTCCATCCTGAAAGCGGGAAGTTTAGAAACGCTTTTCTAAAACAGATATACACTTTATAAGTTTGAGAACACCATAAACTTCAGTCTATATATGATCATATACATTCATAGTTTCTTTCATCTTAATCTTTAACATCTGTTGAGCAATTAAATTATGCACACATTTGGAACATACATGCATATGATTTTAGGGGTCATATATATTCCATGCATTACACGGTAACGTTTATATGATTTGAATTGTTTGCTATAACGTACCGATACAATCAGTTTAGCGATAACCTAACAGAGACGAAGTGCAATGGTTACTAAAACCACCATATACGGACAACATTGGCAGAAAGCCAAACATATCATCATATGCTAAAGAATACCGGTATAGTTTATTATCATGCATGTACACCTTGAACTGTTCTTCCGATACGTGCCAAGTCACAGCTATAAATATTTTCTGACTCACCGTAACTTTACTTACAAAATTTACTTACATGTCGGCGGGTAGAAGAGGATTTAACACGCACTGATTAATACGCGAGCATGAGCTTTAAATGAAGGATAACGCCTGACATGTTCTGTCTGCTCACCCTTACTCTCCTGGCTGTAAGAGGTAAGGAATTATCATTTGTAATCTTGAACAAATATAGAAATAGTAACATGGCATTTGTGTGTGTGTGTTTGGGTGAGTGTGTGTTTGGGTGAGTGTGTGTGAGTGTGTGTGTGTGTGTGTGTGTGTGTGTGTGTGCGTGCGTGCGTGCGTGCGTGCGTGCGTGCGTGCGTGCGTGCGTGCGTGCGTGTGTGTGTGTGGGGGGGGTGTTTGGGTGTGTTTGGGTGTGTGTGTGTGCGTGTGTGTGTGTGTGTGTGTGTGTGTGTGTGTGTGTGTGTGTGTGTGTGTGTGTGTGTGTGTGTGTGTGTGTGTGTGTGTGTGTGTGTGTGTGTGTGTGTGTGTGTGTGTGTGTGTGTGTGTGTGTTTTTGTGTGTGTGTCCCACTGTGTATTGTTTCAAGATGAGATAACACCATATTTTTCCTATATATGCCGTGAGCTTTGAAATATAGATCTTATTGTCTGACTGTCTGAACTCAACTATAAACCTTACAGTATTCATGTTCATACAAACATGTTCATACCGGTTACGGTATTTATCCCTTGTATGGTTTTCATGTGTTAGATCCAACATTCCAGACGTGTGGTAAGGAACATTAGGTGTACAGGGGTACAGCTCGACATCCCCGTCATCTGCAATCAAATAGAAGTGTTGAATCTTGTTGTGCTGAGTTATGAATCTATCATGTGTAACCTTTCTCCACAGGGGCCGCTGCAGTGACTCCTGACTCAAACAACACTATCTGTTCCTATGGATGTCAACCTAGATATGGTGGGTTGACTTGTCAAGCATGTATTGGCGGATGTTATGGAGAAAGGTGTACGCAACACTGCGGCCACTGTGACAGGGATGAGTGTCACAGAGAAACAGGTCAATGTTACAGATGCCAACCGGGCCACTACGGTAAAACATGTGATACTAAATGCCCTGAACACTGCAGGCACACTACTACGAAAAACCATGTCTTCTGTGACCGACGTACAGGTAGATGCTTAGAAACATGCAAGGAAGGTTATTACGGTGTTTCGTGTGACAAGCAGTGCCTCGGACACTGTTTTCATTCTATATGTGACAAAGAAACAGGACATTGTAACCGAGGTTGTCACCGTGGCTGGAGAAGTTCCCGATGCAATAAGCCATGCCCTACCAACTGCCTGAGAGGCGACTGTAACAGTGATGGCACATGCAAGCATGGATGCAACCCTGGCTTCTACGGTCTGATGTGTAACGAAATGTGTTCCAACTGTTACTCTTCTGGGTGCGACAGGCTGTCGGGAAGATGTGACCAGTGTTCTCCGGGCTTCTGGGGTGACAAGTGTAACACAACATGTGACTCTGGTTGTTACACAGAACGGGACGGCTCTACAAACTGTAATCGCAGTACAGGAGCATGCTTAGGTGGATGTAAGGATGGTCGGTATGGAGCAGACTGTGATCGCGCATGTATTACATGCAAAGAAGAAATGTGCTTTCCAAGTGACGGCTCCTGCTATAAAGGCTGCAAACAAGGTTGGAAAGGGTCATTCTGCAAAACAAAATTGTGCTCTGTAAACTGCCTATACGGTGCTTGTCACAGCGATGGAAGATGTACTCGTGGATGCAGACTCGGTTTCCATGGTGACATGTGTGACAAGACGGGTTGTACTACCCGAGGCTGCTACCAGGCCAATCAGGGTGGTTGTGAGCCGGGCTTTTACGGTGAAATCTGTAATTTGACATGCCACACCAACTGCAAGGCTGGAGAAGACAACTTGAGACGTTGCCACAAGGACACTGGCAGCTGTATGGACGGCTGTCGAGCTGGCTGGCATGGGGATCACTGTGGTATCAGCTGCAGCGGACAAACGAGAGGTTTGATGGCGGACAAAGAAGAAACACATTTATGCTCCGGACAAGTGCCTATGATAGGTCAGGTTTCCACTTTTCATTTGAAATAATTTGGTTGCATTGATAAAACAAGGCATTTGCGTTTTCATTATTTTGTTGAGTAGATTTTGATGATGTAATTAACCTTCATGATGTTCTGTGATATTGAATATCGTTGTCAAATCCATGTTACTCATACAGTTTGTTGTTACAAAGGCAAAAACATACTTAGCAACATATTTTATCAAAATAATTTGCTTCAATAAAAATCATAAAATTTATTTGTTTTATTATATTTCACATTGCAGGTGCTGACCACAAGACAGTGGCTGTGGTTCTGTTATCGATGGTGTTGTGGATGACATTCCTACCGTGTCAGCCTGCTGACGGGGTTACATCTTTGGTCATGCAGTTGTATCGAGACATCTAAACCGCACTTGGAAGGGTGTGGTTAGACGATGGTCTTGAGAACACTGCTGGACGTTCCCCTTTAAGTATCTTCACAACCCATCATCTATTAGAGCTAGTAATAAAATTCATTATTTTGACTCGCCTTCGTGATCACCGCAACAGTTTTGGATCTTATCACTATCCAATGTTACTTAAACAGATTTCTGTTTTTACAGAATTATGCGAATGATGATTTCATTAGCGAATGTCATTATACTTTATGTTAGCTATATATTTAGTATTGACTACGAACAATAAAGCATGTGAAATAACTGTACTTTTGGGATTTTTGTGATCTTTATCTTATTGGATATTGGACGTAGTGATATGACTTTATACACATACTTACATCCTGTATGTTCAGAATACTTTGACGTTTCCGTAGATCGATGGGCATGATGTTAATCACTGGAATTTCTGGTCTAGACTCGATTATTTAAAGACCGCCTTCATATAGCTGTATTATTGCAGAGTGCGGCGTTAAACAAACAAACAAACAAACAAACACGACTTACTCGTAACTGTGTGGAGCCACGGGGCTTATTATTAACATACATGTATTGACATCTGTGTTGTAGTTGGACCTATCAACACGAAGGTGTATATATTCCTGAAATGGAGCTGTGGACATTCCCATTCAAATAGAATAAACATTTTACCTTTTAGTAATAAATATGTTTTAGTAAATACTATTATTATCATACTGCTGCCTTGTCCTTTTGTGTATCAAATCACATTCCATGTTTTACTGCGACATGGCAGATGAAGCCTTTCTTGCATCCTTCATTAAAATACAATATACCATTGGTGATCTCACGGCATGCCATGATATGCCATAAATACTGCTCAATGAGGCGTTAAACTCAACTCACTCACTCGTCGTAAATAATATCATATTACACTGTAAAAATCGTAGACTTATTAGTGAAAGGGGATGACCGTTCATTGTCACACACACACACACACACACACACACACACACACACACACACACACACACACACACACACACACACACACTTCCATTATGAACAGACGTCACAATTGACCTCATCATTAAATGTACCTCCGTGCATTCCGATATGTTTGCACTGTTGTGCAAGGGCAGGGGGAGAATGTATGTACCACACATAGAAGGCCAGCGTACCATTTGTCTTTGTTCAAATAAAGCATATTGCACGTGCAAATAGGTTATAGTCATGTATTTTGCCTTTTAACGTTTTTTTGGTCTTTGCGGTGAGAGGTGAGTGATTATAATTTTACACCGCAGTCAGCAATATTCCCGCTACATGTCTACAGTATCTAAAACCTTTCATAAAAAATTAACCTGGAAAAGAAACAGTGGTTGATGCATGAACAACATCCGTGCCGTCGATTTACAATCACATTTAATCCTTCAGATCACACGGTGTAACCTCATGGGGTCCCCATCAGTTATCTGTTACAGTAAGAACCCGCGAAGGTCCGGGGTAGAATAGGTCTTCAGCAACCCATGCTTGCCGTAAGGGGCGACTATGCTTGTCGTAAAAAGCGACTATTCTTGTCGTGAGAGGCGTCTGACGGGTTTGGGTGGTCAAGGCTTGCAGACTTGGCTGATGCATGTCATCATATCCCAATTGAGTGGATCCATGCTCATGATATCAGCGGATTGTCTGGTCCAGACTCGATTATTCACATATAGTTAGGGTATTTTTGAGTGCGGCGTTAAACAACAATCAACATCAACAATATACACTGAAAGTCATGTGAAAGAAACGTCATGTGGATGTTTCATATAAATATCTTTATTTTCAAATGCTTATATATGTAAGTAAATCAGTGTTTGACCCACATGAAATAACAGTCAGGGGAATGTTTTTGCGAATTGTGAATTTGGGGAGGCACCAGAAGACATCACAGCTGGGGGGTTCAAAATCAGTACCTGGTGTGACAACCACGGGCGTTGACTACAGCCACACATCTCCTGTACATGGAGTGGACTAGCCTGTTGATGAAGGCCATTGGGATATGGGCCAATATCCTCTGGAACGCTACACGCGGTTCTGCTGCAGTTGTCGGCCTAGAGCGTACGTCGTTGAGTCGGCGTTGGATCTCATCCCACAAGTGTTCAATGGGATTCAAATCTTGACTGAGGGCAGTGTGGGGACGGGCGTTGTCTTGCTGAAAGGTGTGGTTTTGATGACGGGCAAAAAAGGTACGATATGGGGTCTGAGGACTTGGTCAATGTAGCGGTGAACTGTGATGCCACTACCTCTGCCTGGACCAATATTTTGAAAGACCACAGGTCCCACTCTCTGGTTCAGTCCGAGTCCACCCCAAACCATGATGCTTGCCCCCCCCCCCCCCCCCCCCCCCCCTCTCGTTCCATAACATAAGCATCAGCATAACGTTCGACCCTCCTTCGCCAGACCCTGACTCTGCCATCCACCGTTGAAACACAGTAGCGACTTTCATCAGTGAAGATGATTCTTCTCCATTGCTCTTGACGCAATTTTGCTGCTGCGTCGCCCATTGCAGTCGGGCCTGTCGGTGACGATCTATCAGCATAGGTACACGAGCAGGACGGTGGCACGAGATGTTGTTGGCAGTTAGGCGACGTCGGACTGTACGATCACTGATGGCACGCTGGTGGTTGCCAATGGGGCATTGCCTAAAAGTTTTATAGAAAACAAGGTGCTCAAAGTGAAGCCCTTTTCCCTCTACATTCTCAACATAGTCTCTGTCAGAAGCGTTTGGCTTGTGTTGGGTCCGACTTGGCCCGGGCGGACAAAATCAACTTTAAACACACAGATGTATCTTCAAATGTGTTTACAACTATAGATTAGTGATATATCTACCTATACACCACTTTATAATGTCACAGTATATCGCGTTTAAAGAAAACCGGGCCGTTAAAGTCAAGCTCTGTTACTGTATTTTTTAAGAAAATGGGCAAAGCACTCCATTTTAAACTCAATTGTTAAATGTACTTTAAGGCAACAAAAAGCAGCAGTAGAACGATAAATGAGTTTATTGACCACAGAACATGTAACTGCCAGTGTCTGTTAAGTTTTATCAGTATTTTCAGAAGTGACATTTATTTTGCATTTCAGAGTATTACGATAAGCATGGGTATCCGGAACCTTTCTGTTCTGGAATACCTACATAGAAGGAAGGGATGTGAATATAACCGTTAACCTTATTGAGAACTTTACATTTTCATTCCTACTGAATCCTATCGACTTGCCACTAGCAGTGAGTGATCACTTGGTACAAAGTACACACTTAAGTCGTTGCTCAAACACACAGATATGAAAGACTCACATGCACAGCGGACCTGCGCAGTATATGAATACTGTCCAGTACACCCGCTACATATTGTACTCCTCAGCTCACAGATTAGATCACATTACGACATGCAACATAATGTCATTGAATACTAGTATGCTGGTATACTAGTAATTGTAACACGTATCTACTTGTTAAACTCCATTTATAAATACATTTACCTATTGGGAATGAATTATCCTTCAATATATAGAACCATATTTGCTTCTTTATAGTAAGATAGGTGACAACAAATCAAAGTTCAAATAAGTATTGTTGAGCACATCATGCAGATGTCTACGTTATGTCAACCATTGAAACAAACGCTGTTTTATATTATTCCTTGACGGTGTCATACGAACCCTCCATCTTCCATAGGAGATTATAAATTGGAACTTAAAGAAAGATAAAAATGTTTGTTTGAAACGTTTGTACTGAATGAAAAAAAAATAACTCAGAAAACATACGTGTATAATATTACCTTAGACACAGACACTGAATTGAAAAAGAAACTATAAAGACAGGTTTCGTCATGCACTGCTGGCAGCCTGCCAGACATGGAGTCAGGTCTGTATAATCAAACACTTATAATGGCTGAATGCCAAGTCAGAATTATAAATAGATAGTTTAAACCTTGTAGACTTATCTGGGTGTACAGTCCCTTGCACGTATCCTGTACATCTACGAGGAGACACTGGGTGTGCTGGTCGCGGTCCAATGTGTCCCCCGACATAGAGTCCTGGTGATATGCTTTCTCCGATACTGTACTGCATACCGCATATTGGCGTTTAAGAAGATGGAAACAATTCTCAGTCGCATTGTGACAATCGTCGCCTTGATATATACATGTGTGACCGGTAAGAAAATGTTTGTCAGTTTGAAATTGGGCAGTCATGAAACAGATGAATCACGTTAAATTATTTTTTTTCTTATGTAGTATAGTAAAACTAGTATAGTTTTGACATTACCTTATGGTAACCAAACATGACGTATTTCATTAATATGATACTGTTAAAAGCGGCGTTAAATCCAACTCACTCACTCACTCATTAATATGAATTACTTAACAGTAGTTCTGTTATTCCACAGAAAACATCGGTTCTCATGTCGGCAAATGTGAAGATGGGTGCACCCCTCCATATGGGGGATTAACTTGTCAAGCCTGTCTTCACGGTTGTTATGGAGACAGATGTACTGACCACTGCAGCCACTGTGGCAGTGATGGGTGTGACAGAGATACAGGCAGGTGTTACAGGTGTAAACCAGGTTACCACGGTGACGGGTGTAACACTATATGTCCAGACAACTGTCCTGCAGATTACAAGGGTGATGTTTACTGCAACAGAAGCTCAGGGAACTGCCTGGAAACCTGTAACAAGGGACATTTCGGGAGCACGTGTCAGAAACGCTGTCCACAACATTGCAAACACTCGTTGTGTGCCAAGACCAATGGGTATTGTCTGGCTGGATGTGCGCATGGATGGAGAGGGCCCTTCTGTAATGAGAAGTGCTCTGCTAACTGCTTGCGAGGTATCTGCCACAGTGACGGCAAGTGCAAAGAGGGCTGCGAATCTGGTTACTATGGCCAGTTCTGTGACAAGAAATGCTCTAACTGTTACACAACTGGATGTGACAGATTTTCAGGCAGATGTGATCAATGCTCACCTGGTTTCCATGGCGACAACTGCACCATGACATGTAGTCACTACTGCTACACAGAACGTGATGGCTACAGGCATTGTTCGCGTGCAGACGGAACCTGTGTGCAAGGATGTATAGATGGGAGACATGGACCTCATTGTGGTAGCAGTTGTAGTAGCAACTGTAAAAACTCAGTATGCTTTCCAAAAGATGGGTCTTGTGTCAACGGCTGTACACACGGGTGGAAAGGATCATTCTGTAACGAAAAATGCTCGGAAAGTTGTCGAACTGGTGCCTGTTACACCGATGGAAAATGTAAATATGGTTGCGAACCAGGATTTTATGGCCTGTTTTGTGATAGGCAATGTCCGCATTGCCATACCACTGGATGTGACAGAACATCGGGCAGGTGCGAGGAATGCTCCCCAGGGCGATATGGCAATGGATGCCATCTGAAATGCAGCAATTGTTATGCAGGTCGAGATGGCTTGAGTCTTTGTGATCGTGACACCGGCACGTGCCAGGAGGGATGCAGGGAAGGTCGGCATGGACCAACATGTAGTCATCATTGCAGCAAAACGTGCAGACACTCTTGCTCCTATACAGATGGCTCCTGTACCCATGGCTGTATCGGAGGATGGAGAGGAACCCACTGCGACAGGAAGTGCCCTGAAAACTGTTTGAATAATGACTGTCTCACTGATGGAAGGTGTAAGCAGGGTTGCCGCGATGGGTTCACTGGTCGGTCCTGTCACGAGAAATGTTCGACCTGTAGAAACGTTCCTAAATCTGCGACATACACTCAGTCTAGTAATGGGTCATCTCGTCTAGCGTCCATGTCAGGTGAGAGTTTCATTCATCACACTGTCCTTTCGACTTATTATTGTTTGTTTATTTGTTGTTTAACGCCGCACTCGGCAATATTCCTGCAATATGACGGTGGTCTGTAAATTATCTAGTCAGGACCAGTCAATCCGGTGATTGACATCATAAGCATCGATCCACGCGATTGGGATACGATGACATGCCTCAACCAAGTCTGCGAGCTTGACCACCCGATCCCGCCAGACTTCTCTCGCGACAAGCATAGTCGCCTTTTACGGCAAGCATGGGTTGCCCAAGACCTATTCTTATCAGATCTTCACGGGTCCCTCTCGACTAATACGTCATTAAAAGAACGTGTTATTACAGTTCATATAATGTGACCTGCTATACCATAGGTAATGACATAACTAAACATATAAGGTAAGTCATGTTTTCATTGCATTTGTTTGAAAACAACAATATGTGCTAGGTGATAACTGACCTTAATTATAAAATATTGATATACATAAACATATAGATCATAAATCTCTAAGTTTCATCGTTTTTAAATGTGTATCTATGTTGCAGGGTTTTGGATCCAAGTGGCTGCGGTCATAGTGTGGGCGTGTCACCGCTGTACAATGAGCTGCCAGGACATCTGAACTGCAATCTCGTCGGGGGTAGTTAGAAGAGTCCTGGCAGTGCATTGTAAGCTGATATGTCAAACCAACCTACTCGTGTGTATACGTGACTGACATCACCTCTACAGCCATCACCATCAGAAGATATAGAACAAATACAACCAAACTTACTGGAAACGCCACAGAAGTTGCATGTTTATGCATACAATAAATATGTAAATCAATTGCCAGTACATTGTCATGATTATATACATAAAGGATTGTTAATGTACATAAGTGATTGTATATCCTATTTATGAATTTAGTTGCATTTGTATATTTTCATGAGTGTATAATCGTTGTAAACAACTTGTTTGTGGGAAGACTTTTGAAAATAAGGGCGTACAATGTTACTACTGTCCCTTCTTGAATATGAAAAACGACAATAAATCTCGTTTATAAAAACATTCTGTTATATATTTGCTTAAGCGATGAAGCCTCTTTGAGGTTCTGGGTGAAAAATGAGGCCCCAGGTAATCAATTAATGAAATGAATAGTTTGTAACAATGTGTGATGTGGAATGTGTTTTGTCATCTGCTCTCCAGCGGAGTGAATCATGGTCCATGCTATCATCCACTGCCTTGTCTGATCCCGATTCGATAGTAATAAGTCAGAACGGGCAAATAAGGCATCAATAAGGTAGAGAGGACATCCCTCTAGCAGTCTCAACATCATACATCAAACCTTGCAATCGGTGTAATTCGTCATGATGTTACTCTAAAATCAGGTAAAGAGCTGCAACCAGGTAAATTATACTGCATTATTCCCAGGGAAATAGTAAACTATATGAGTGAAACAAAACCCTGCCTCACGAGTGTGTGATACGACTGATAAACTGACGTCGTCACTCTCGATAGTGGTGATATCATAATTGACACTGGTAAAAGTTCAAGGCAACAAGGAAAGCGTTGCCGAAGCGGCACTGCCAAGTCGTGGCTCGAAGAGACCCCTTGCTGTTGGTAAAATATGGCACCTGATAATACGGAGTTGTCTGGTCTGTTGACAACACTCTGATCGGTTATTTGGAAATGATTGCACGCACGCACTCATGCACTCACTCACTCACTCACTCACTCACTCACTCACTCACACACTCACTCACTCACTCACTCACTCGATCACTCACTCACTCATTCACTCATTCACTCACTCACGCACGCACGCACGCACGCACTCACGCACTCACTCACTCACTCACTCACTCACTCACTCACTCACTCACTCACTCACTCACTCACTCGCTCACTCACTCACCCACCCTACCACTCACTCACTCACTCACTCACTCACATCAGGGCATGTGTAGTTGTACCTTTCAGGACGTGTAGTTTAGAACCTGTGTAGTTTAGAACCTGTGTAGTTCGGGACATGTGTAGTTCAGGACATCTGTAGTGTAATTCATGTGTAGTTCAGAACATGTGTAGTTCAGGACATCTGTAGTTCAGGACATCTGTAGTGTAAGGTATATATAGTTTAGAACCTGTGTAGTTTAGAACATGTGTAGTTCAGGACATCTGTAGTTCAGGACATCTGTAGTGTAGTTCATGTGTAGTTCAGAACATGTGTAGGTTAAGGTATGTGTAGTTTAGAGCATGTGTAGTTTAGGACATGTGCAGTTCAGGACATGTGTAGTTTAGGACATCTGTAGTTTAGGGCATGTGTAGTTTAGAATATGTGTAGTTTAGGACATCTGTAGTTTAGGGCATGTGTAGTTTAGAATATGAGTAGTTTAGGACATCTGTAGTTTAGGACATCTGTAGTTTAGGGCATGTGTAGTTTAGGGCATGTGCAGTTCAGGACATGTGTAGTGTAAGGCATGTGTAGTTTAGGACATGTATAGTTTAGGGTATATGTAGTTAAGGACATGTGTAGTATAGGGCATGTGTAGTTTAGGACATGTGACGTCTAGTCAATATGGACTGCAGAAAATTAACGGGAATAGAATTATGATCTGGTTACCTGAGTTACACCTAATACAGACATGACGGCGGCGATTGTCAAACGCAGATCAATCGGTGCATTCACTACACTCACTCGTGATTTCATATCTAAGCAGGGCAGATACCAGTGTTATATTATGTCATGTATTGGGGATTGCCATAAAGAAAACCTGGCACGTACCCATATCTTCACACATGCCTATTTTCAGCAACCAAAGTACATAAGTTTTTTACGAATATTGCGATTCAAAGTCCACGTGTTGCCCTGGACTGAAATCAATCTAGACTGTCATATTGTATTGTATCTGATACATCGGCCTGTGATCGCTGCTTGGTCAAAGGTAACACGAAGTGTATACTTATCCAATATTTACTAAAATCTACAATGTAATTCTATTTTAACTATTCCTAATATGTGTTAAATAGTTATTGATTAAGAAACATTTTTTTGCCATATCACTATTTAATTATACTAACAGTAACTCCAGCAGGGCATCCTGGGCATACAGTTTCACAGTTTCCTGCATAGGTAATGCCTGGTGATATTACTGATCTTAGACAAAGGAATATTCAATACAATTTAGATTTGCTGTAGTCCCATTCTCTCTCCGATGTTTTCATGAAATGACGTCTGTGTGGTAATGGCGTGGAAAGCTTACGAATGCTGCAGTTGAACTAAGTGTAGAGGGCCATTTAAACAAAAACAATAACAAGGGGTATGCATGTGTGGTATTTCTGAGCAGTATTTTTCAAGGAGTACGTTTGGGTGAAAGTTATTAGGAAATTGTTTGGAAGGAAGTAAAAACGTGTTGTTCACTGTGTAATTTTAAATAACTGTTAGATAACCTATAACCAGAATCTAGAATTTGCTTTTGGTTGACACGAAAAACATATATCACTAGAACTAGGGCATGGTGTTATGCAAGGTCAACAGTACACGAGACACAAGTAGCTGAACGCACCCCTTCCCAAATCACAAGGAAATATTTGTGTGCATAGAGAGTGCTTAACCCATGAGTCACCAGGGATGACGGATACTGTCGAAATGACAAAGTGCTCAACTGGAGTAGCCATGAAAGTAACCCCTACGTGCAAACATGAGCATCGATAACCCCCTGCAGTGAGCTCTAGCTTTGCCTTTACATGTTGACATCAAGATTGGGTGTCAAACAGTACATACATGTATGTTGCAAATAGCCACGATATAAACACGTTAACCTCAAACACAGTTGTAGAAGCATATTAAATATTAACATCACTGGAACACGACCTTCGCTTGGTTTCATCTTCCCTCTGAGTTTGAAGGGTTTTGCTTCTTTTACAAGATATGTAGGTCAGTATGTCTTAATGCGCATTACAATAATGCATGCATACCTATAGGTTTTTTTTCACCGTGCATAAACATGTTAGAGAAGAAACAAGGAGAGAAAGCATCTTGTTTTTCAATAAACAAAATCTTAAATGCATGTATGTATAGATGCAATTATAACATTCATGTATTGTGCACTCAAATATTGCAGAAAGTGTGAGTATCTAGTTTTCATTTCCATAATATCATGATATATCAATGTCCACATGTACTTGTATGGGATACATAGTGCAGGAAAAAAGGGTCAATGTTTGACCCAGAAAACTCTTTTTTTTTAAAGAAAGACCTTCCTGTTGGAACAGATACATAATATATAGCTGCATTGCATAATACATTTGATATCATTGTTGTTAGAAATAAGACTTGTGTATTATACCGATCACAACAGTTCAAGTTAAATAAAAGGGAGTATCGTTTATGAAAACGTCATTTTGTAATTGTTTTAAATTAATAATGATGTCAGGTTCACGTGAATCAATCCGATTAAAAGTAACTAAACCGTTACTTGACGTAAAACATGTTGCATATAGATATATAACTATATTAATGAAGACAACATCACGAACTAGCTGGTAATTAAGCATAATGCAAGACTCGGTGTCACATGCTGCGTCTGCAACTGCATGATTTATAGTGCAATAATCTTGGGCGCGACGTAAAAAACCCATTTGACCTCACCTTAAAATACAGACAGAATAACGTGCAACAAGGGTATAATGACATGTTTATTAACAAACGTATTGGCCGATTGCCTCAGGTTATATTGTATTGAGTCAACTAGAGATATGTTGCATCAATGTACGTTATGCTATATACAGAATGCTGTAAACTGAATGCACCTGTTGTTGTATAATGAATGCACGTGTTGCTGTATAATGAATGAATACGGACTGCACGTATTGCTGGATACGGAATGCACGTATTGCTGTATACGGAATGCACGTATTGCTGGATAATGAATGCACGTGTTGCTGTATACGGAATGCACGTATTGCTGGATACGGAATGCACGTATTGTTGAATACGGAATGCACGTATTGCTGGATACGGAATGCACGTATTGTTGTATACGAAATGCACGTGTTGCTGTATACGGGATGCACGTATTGCTGGATACTGAATGCACGTAGTGTTGTATACGGAAGCACGTGTTGCTGGATACTGAATGCACGTGTTGCTGTATACTGCATACAAGTGTTGTTGTATACGGAATGCACGTGTTGCTGTATACGGAATGCACGTGTTGCTGGATACTGAATGCACGTGTTGCTGGATACTGAATGCACGTGCTGCTGTATACGGGATGCACGTGTTGCTGGATACGGAATGCACGTATTGTTGTATACGAAATGCACGTGTTGCTGTATACGGGATGCACGTGTTGCTGGATACGGAATGCACGTATTGTTGTATACGAAATGCACGTGTTGTTGTATACGGGATGCACGTGTTGCTGTATACGGGATGCACGTGTTGCTGGATACTGAATGCACGTGTTGCTGGATAATGAATGCACGTGTTGCTGGATACTAAATACAAGTGTTGTTGTATACGGAATGCACGTGTTGCTGTATACGGAATGCACGTGTTGCTGGATACTTAATACACGTGTTGTTGTATACTGAATGCACGTGTTGCTGTATACGGAATGCACGTGTTGCCGTATACTGAATGCACGTGTTGCTGTATAATGAATGCACGTGTTCCTGTATACGGGATGCACGTATTGCTGGATAATGAATGCACGTGTTGCTGTATACTAAATACAAGTGTTGTTGTATACGGAATGCACGTGTTGCTGTATACGGAATGCACGTGTTGCCGTATACTGAATGCACGTGTTGCTGTATACGGGATGCACGTGTTGCTGCATACGGAATGCACGTGTTGCTGTATACGGAATGCACGTGTTGCTGTATACGGAATACACGTGTTGCTGGATACTGAATGCACGTGTTGCTTGATACTGAATGCACGTGTTCCTGTATACGGGATGCGCGTGTTGCTGTATACTGAATGCACGTGTTGTTGTATACTGAATGCACGCTTTGCTGGATACTGAATGCACGTGTTTCGTATACGGAATGCACGTATTGCCGGATACTGATTGCACGTGTTGACGTATACTTTATGTATCTGTAGGTGTATGATGTATTGATGCATACTTTATGTACGTGTTGATGTGTTATGTATTTATGTGTTGATGTATTATGTATTTATGTCTTTGCAGATGGTGTCCCATGAGAATAAGTTTCTTGTGACTTGCATGTTGAATGTTGAAACATTCCACGTTTAGTTGTCATAGATACATGTAGACAGTGACACGTCAAGTATAATACTTCCCTATGCATGTCTCAGACACAGATGCAACCCAGACTTAACATTGTTTAAAAATAAATCTATAACTGCCCTCCCAGCTGTATCAGCTTCACATTACATACTGGATCGAACTTAACACGTTTATAGCTGTATCAGCTTCACATTACATACTGGATCGAACTTAACACATATTATAGCTGTATCAGCTTCACATTACATACTGGATCGAACTTAACACGATTATTTTAAGTCTCGTTTTCCTTATATATTAATACTTCATATGTGTGCATGTAAGCTTGTCCTGTAGTACTATGTATGAAGAACCGATATGTACCTGATTCTTCCATATATACTATAATGACCTTCGAACTCACAAACATCGGAGCCTGGCGTGACTAAGGGAAGCAACCCTGTAATCATCACGAACAGTGGATGTTGATGAAACTAATCAAGAGGACATCTTCCCAACAACCCAAGTGTTACACTCTCATATCAAAACATTTTATTTCCTTAAAGCCACAGTATACATGAGACCAAATGTATACAAATCAAAAGGAGACTACGAATTTGTAGCTTTTTCACCAATAATACCTGTTTTGCCTTTAATGAAATATTTTCTTAGTTGAAAAAAAATAATTCTTATGGTTCCTTAAAACATACATTCGTCAGTAACACTATTCAAGTGTGACTAGAACGGAACATCTACGTGAGGGATTTGCTGCTAATCAATAGCTACCCGCAATGCATGAATATGATAGCCATTACAATGCATTGTTCGCTCTTCCTCCCGCACATACTGCGTCATTCGAGACAACCATTCCTGCCTCTGACACATCGTCTTCGCTTGTACATGGACCGTCCTCCGTTACTTCGAACCCATCGTCTCCTCGGGCACTTTTCCGATAGAGGCATGGAATTCTCTTGCCTAAACTGGAGTCTCTGAAAAAAATATTCAGTCTATTCGGGGTTTCTCATGTACAACTATATGATATTCACCGATGGACATATATATGAATCAGTTATCCTCGGTTAACTTGATGAAGCAAGTAGGTTACTGTGTTCGCTTATCACGCATATCAACCAAGTTCGACCCTCTGCGCTGTTACATGTTCACACTGCTGTTACTGCAGCCTAAGAGGACCGCCTCCGTGGTCTAGTGGTTGAGTTTCCACCCGGAGAGAAGAAGGTCCGGGGTTCGATTCCCGGCCGCTTCATACCAAAAAGACGTAAAAATATGGTTCGTGTTGTTTCCCTGCCTGGCGGTCAGCATTAAAGGGGTAAGACATGCACTGGTCGACTCGGAGTAGTATACTGTGTCTCAGTGGGGTATCCATGTTATAATTGCGGCATGGTATCTCAGTGGGGCTAGCACTATAAATCGGCATTAGTCCGGATTAGGATATAGTAGTGTCAGTGTTATCCGGGCACATCATGACATATACAAACCACGGTGTGTTCTTATTGCCTATGTTCACGTGAATAGAATGAACTGCCTACAGTTATTTTGTATATTTTATGAATAATTCGTGATACAATGGTCATACAATGTATTCCAGTCTTCATCAAGGTGAAATACAGATTTGACAATGGAAACCGCGTCAGCATACCTGATCACCCACCCTCCGAGAACCACAGCTGCCGCAACACACAGTGCTATATACACAAGGAGAGCCGTGTATATCGTGCTGAACGAGTCCGGACAACCACCTTTAACAAATCGAGCCGACACCCCACACTGGCAACTTGGCAAATTAGCTGAAAATACATAATATTACACCGTATGTTAAACATTTTAACTTTCCACAGCCGAGTAACAGCGCATATTTTCTTTGTTTTTAACGCCTCATTCAAAATTATTCATGCTGTATGACGGTGGTTTGTATATAATTGAGTCTGGACCAGACATACCAGTGATTGATATCATGAGCATCGATCTAATCAATTGGGATACGATGACATGCATCAGACAAGTCAGGGAGCCTGACTACGCGATCCCGTTAGACGCCTCTTACGACAAGCACAGTCGCCTCTTACAAGCATGGGTTGCTGTAGTCCTATTCTACCCCGCATCTTCACGGGTACATGTAATGGAATATAAAACGTAATAGCCGTTTTGATAGATAGCTACAGCGATGGCATTAACCATTGATAATTTTTCGTACAAACACAGTGTATGTAGAAAGAATCTATGATTTCTCAAATATTAGTCAATATACGGTTTACCATTACATATCCAATAATATATGATTGGTAGTTGTGTTCAGGGAAATAACTGGCCTATTGGAAAATAGAGTGTTGAATTGTTGAATATGCATGACATAGATAATACATTAGCCCAGTCATCCTCATCGCATAAATAAACAATTTGTGTAGATTAACGTAACTATCATACAGCTGTCCATCTTAAAGCTGGACTGTATGGCCTTGATCTATACCTTGTGTACATCTACACGTTGTAATGAGTGTCTTGTGTCAAAGCGTGTCTTTGTGTGGGCTGCCTGCTATTGACTGTGTGTATAGTGGACAGTAAGTCTCACATTGAACTCAGTAACATTTCAGTGTGTGCATCTGCATGCACGCCACAGCATTTGAAACACCGAGAGCACTCTAAATACGCAATATTGTCCAGGGAATGACAGTCGCACTTTTAAAGATCGGGGAAATATATCAACAGGAAATATTTACAATGTTTCTACTACTTGTCCTTTCGTCAGATCCACAACCTCCGCGCAATACCACGTGCTGTGGATATTTATATAACAGCTTTAGACAAGCGTCCATATTGCTATATGACATATGTAAACACGTCTCTCTCTCTCTCTCTCTCTCTCTCTCTCTCTCTCTCTCTCTCTCTCTCTCTCTCTCTCTCTCTCCCTCTCCCTCTTTCTCTCTCTCTCTCTCTCTCTCTCTCTCCCCTTCACACATTTAAACTTACGTATTATTACATAAAAAGAAGTTATTCAGCGGCGCGTGAACACACCCCATATCCAAGCGACATATAACATACATACTTTACAAGTCAATACTATGTTAAGTCCAACGTAAGTAGCATAAAACATTAAAATCTTTCTATTATCGCGAACCGAAACAAACGAACACAATATAAAATTGTTCGGTCATTTCGTTTCTTAACCGAATCGAATGTAAGTTTTAAAGGCTTTGTATATCTGGCTAGAGAGTATGAACACAGAGTCTGTCAGATCCCTTACTGTACCTGACATGTTGTCACTGTTGTCCTCAGAACAGATGAGTACAGATAGAACGAGGAAATTATTTAAGTCGACCAGTAGGTGACGGGGAAATAATCTTTTCACACGTCTAGTTGATCGTCCTGGTATGCTTCAACTTGCTATTTATTATCCATGATGACCAACGACCAACTGTTACATCGCCATGTAATTACAAGGAACCATACTGTGATATAACGATCACGCTGCCCAGGGTGTAGGGTCAGTTTTACTGTTCGGGCGGTTGTAGGTTCCACCTCCCACAACAAGGAGTGTAACACGCAATTGAGTTTTTAATACTCTTATAATTAGGGCAGGATATATATAATGATTACTGTTACGGGTAAAGTATTTTTAAGGAAGCTTTCGCTGGGACTCGGGGCTAGAATAGCCCCCTAGGCTATACAGTTTTAACTGGCGACTTTCTGGATCGGGATGTCATGCTTGGTGACTCGGACGCCTACATTGAGATGGCGTATTGGCGTGTCGCGCTAAACAACAAACAAAACAAAACTTTTACTGTAGAAGATTTTCTCGTTAAACGTGTTTCCAGATCTAGACATAACCGAATTTTCAGTGACATCAAATAATGCAAAAGAGTTTAATATTAGAATTTAAGCGATGTTAAGAGACCATTTTCATTTCTACATGACTTCCACACATTAAAATTGACAAATCCATTTTCGTAATTGTAAAATATATCTGCAATGAGTTTGTTCTACGATTTCGACTATATCATAACGTGCGTTCATGCATTACTATCAATAAGGGGGGGACGGGTGGCCCAGTCGTCTAAGGCGCCGCGATTCCCTGTGCAGAGTTGCGTCCCTCGGGCACGCCAGAAACCTATGATTGTGGGTTCGAATCCCGGTTCGCCCCGATTATGTTTCTAGGTTTGTCAGCACCATACCCGTGCTCGTGGGTTTCACCGAAGTGGTAAACGTCTGAGACCTGCATCACTTCGGGCTTTCCTCCCACATTAAGCTGACACACCGTGATATAACTGGAATACTGTTAAAAGCGGCGTTAAATCCAACTCACTCACTCACTCACTCACTCACTCACTCACTCACTCACCCACCCACCCACTCACTCACTCACTCACTCACTCACTCACTCACTCACTCACTCACTCACTCACTCACTCACTATCCATTAGTGTTCGCGGAAAGGTGAGCGCAGTCTGTCCCACAGGTGAAACTCGTCACGAACACACGCAAAGGCAGGTCAATTGTTCACCTGAACATATGATACTCGTCAGAAATGGAAATTGCTTCGGATGTCTACACACAACATTTTACCTACAGGGCATTGCATATTGTAACCCTGATCAAACAACTGCTGAGCAAGAGTCACATGATGCTCTTTGAAATCTTTGTAGAAAGAGCATGCTTGATTGTACCTCAAGATAGTGAAAATGTTGACACCAAGGACTGGAGATGCTTGAATATTGATCGACATAATTAAAGGGAAGGTTGATTATTGGAAAGTGGAAGTCATCCCCCTCGTCATACACTCGTCATACACATGGTGTTTGTCACTCTTTACGCATAGACCTGAATATGAAATAGATGATAAGGTGTCACTGGCCTCTTATAATGTAAGCTCAGTGGACGGGAATATTTGACATTATTGAACGCTATCAGAACATCACTATACGTGAAGCTTAAGTTAAACCCCTTTGCCAAATTCGCTTGTTTCGATTTTGGCAATCATGAAGAAATTCTGCCGCGTATGCTTAAAGAAACAGATAAACAAGGCGGGGAGCAAAGTCATCCCTCTTGTCATACAGTGATGTGGATACTTGATTTTCACAGTGGATATATATCTAAATATGACACAGATGAAGCGGTTTCGCTAGTCTTAAGCATGTCATCAAATATTCACTGAACACTGGAATGAACGGGCACAAACAACGATCAGGTTCACACTGACACAACACACCGTGTGCATGGAGTTGTGTAGAAGTTGTCTCCCTTCAATGTCAATGTGAAGTGTTCTATTCAACTGCCGCTTACACCTTTCATCCGTGTGATGGGCCACAGCGTCATCACTAGAGAAGTTGCTGTATATGCATCGGTTACAAAGGCACATGTCTCACTTCGATATATGATGAAGCATTGTACTAATTGCATACATGTTCAATAGCATCGCAAAAAGTAATTATCTCATTGTTAAAGGAAAAGTAAATTTGGCAAGACATACATGTACTTGTCGAAACTGTCATTACCGATGTGCGGGAGTTCATGATTTGACCAGTGCAGTCATATATCTCTTAGTTTGTATACCGAACACCGAGCAGAACATTCAGAGGTGCTTTGGAAGTGAAATATATATTCGGCATATGTCACTGCAGGACAGATACCGAACATGATTGGGTAATTTTTGGTAAAAGTTTACGCCATACCATTTTGTCAGCTACGAGTATGCACATAGATATGTATAATTACTTACAATTTTAGCATAGCAATGGTCCAGTAGTGTGTCGATGAATTATACGCTAGTTCCTTGATGTCATCCATAATTTACCCGAAGGAACTGAGGACCAGAATAGTGTACATGTGTGAGTAGCGAGTCTGTGTGACATCATGCAGGGTACATGTGAGTGTAGCGAGTCTGTGTGACATCATGCAGGGTACATGTGAGTGTAGGGAGTCTGTGTGACATCATGCAGCGTACTTGTATGAGTAGCGAGTCTGTGTGACATCATGCAGGGTACATGTGAGAGTAGCGAGTCTGTGTGACATCATGCAGCGCACTTGTATGAGTAGCGAGTCTGTGTGACATCATGCAGGGTACATGTGAGATTATCGTGTCTGTGTAACATCATGCATGGTACATGTGAGAGTAGCGAGTCTGTGTGACATCATGCAGGGTACATGTGAGAGTAGCGAGTCTGTGTGACATCATGCAGGGTACATTTGAGAGTAGCGAGTCTGTGTGACATCATGCAGCGCACTTGTATGAGTAGCGAGTCTGTGTGACATCATGCAGGGTACATGTGAGATTATCGTGTCTGTGTAACATCATGCATGGTACATGTGAGAGTAGCGAGTCTGTGTGACATTATGCATGGTACATGTGAGTTTAGCGAGTCTGTGTGACACCATGCATTGTACATGTGAGTTTAGCGAGTCTGTGTGACATCATGCAGGGTACATGTGAGTTTAGCGAGTCTGTGTGACATCATGCATGGTACATGTGAGAGCAGCGAGTCTGTGTGACATCATGCAGGGTACATGTGAGAGTAGCGAGTCTGTGTGACATCATGCAGGGTACATGTGAGAGTAGCGAGTCTGTGTGACATCATGCAGGGTACATGTGAGTTTAGCGAGTCTGTGTGACATCATGCATGGTACATGTTAGAGTAGCGAGTCTGTGTGACATCATGCAGGGTACATGTGAGAGTAGCGAGTCTGTGTGACATCATGCAGGGTACATGTGAGAGTAGCGAGTCTGTGTGACATCATGCAGTGTACATGTGAGTTTAGCGAGTCTGTGTGAGATAATGCAGGGTACATGTGAGAGTAGCGAGTCTTTGTGACATCATGCAGGGTACATGTGAGAGTAACGAGTCTGTGTGACATCATGCATGGTTCATGTGTGAGCAGCGAGTCTGTGTGACATCATGCAGGATACATGTGAGTTTAGCGAGTCTGTGTGAGATAATGCAGGGTTCATGTGAGAGTAACGAGTCTGTGTGACATCATGCATGGTACATGTGTGAGTAGCGAGTCTGTGTGACATCATGCATGGTTCATGTGTGAGCAGCGAGTCTGTGTGACATTATGCATGGTACATGTGAGTTTAGCGAGTCTGTGTGACACCATGCATTGTACATGTGAGTTTAGCGAGTCTGTGTGACATCATGCAGGGTACATGTGAGTTTAGCGAGTCTGTGTGACATCATGCATGGTACATGTGAGAGCAGCGAGTCTGTGTGACATCATGCAGGGTACATGTGAGAGTAGCGAGTCTGTGTGACATCATGCAGGGTACATGTGAGAGTAGCGAGTCTGTGTGACATCATGCAGGGTACATGTGAGTTTAGCGAGTCTGTGTGACATCATGCATGGTACATGTTAGAGTAGCGAGTCTGTGTGACATCATGCAGGGTACATGTGAGAGTAGCGAGTCTGTGTGACATCATGCAGGGTACATGTGAGAGTAGCGAGTCTGTGTGACATCATGCAGTGTACATGTGAGTTTAGCGAGTCTGTGTGAGATAATGCAGGGTACATGTGAGAGTAGCGAGTCTTTGTGACATCATGCAGGGTACATGTGAGAGTAACGAGTCTGTGTGACATCATGCATGGTTCATGTGTGAGCAGCGAGTCTGTGTGACATCATGCAGGATACATGTGAGTTTAGCGAGTCTGTGTGAGATAATGCAGGGTTCATGTGAGAGTAACGAGTCTGTGTGACATCATGCATGGTACATGTGTGAGTAGCGAGTCTGTGTGACATCATGCAGGATACATGTGAGAGTAGTGAGTCTGTGTGACATCATGCATGGTACATGTGAGTTTAGCGAGTCTGTGTGACATCATGCAGGGTACATGTGAGAGTAGCGAGTCTGTGTGACATCATGCAGGATACATGTGAGTTTAGCGAGTCTGTGTGAGATAATGCAGGGTTCATGTGAGAGTAACGAGTCTGTGTGACATCATGCATGGTACATGTGTGAGTAGCGAGTCTGTGTGACATCATGCAGGATACATGTGAGAGTAGTGAGTCTGTGTGACATCATGCAGGGTACATGTGAGTTTAGCGAGTCTGTGTGACATCATGCAGGGTACATGTGAGAGTAGTGAGTCTGTGTGACATCATGCAGAGTTCATGTGAGAGTAACGAGTCTGTGTGACATCATGCAGGGTTCATGTTAGAGTAGCGAGTCTGTGTGACATCATGCATGGTACATGTGAGTTTAGCGAGTCTGTGTGACATCATGCAGGGTACATGTGAGAGTAGCGAGTCTGTGTGACATCATGCAGGGTACATGTTGCGCCAACCACAACCAGAGTTAGACTACTGTTGACGTCATCGTGTGTTCTCTGTCCATCATGTTGTTACAGAATCATTCGGCTGTTGTTATAACTTAACATACATGTGGTAATGTCTCTCGTGTATGCAATTGTTGTTACTGTTACTCCTCCACCTACCATATACATTCTGTACCATGGCCATCGATCCTTGTACCGTCGTCAAGCAAGGCTGAAAAATGTTCAGTTGTTACCTTGTTACACTACAAAGTAAGAGGCAAACATTACTCAGCCTTGCTTGACAACGGTATAAGGATCTATACCGAAATGTCGCCACTACATTCAAATAAAGAAGTTGTTATCCATAAATTGTGTCTACTTTGTCATCCGTCAACTTCTACGAAATGCCTTATGAAAAATTCAGTATAGGTTGTTGGCAATACCGGTATTTGTTGAAAGTAGTTCATTATTTGACTACGTATTGTCTGTTATTACCCCTATGTATCAATGATAAGAGTAGGGTAGAGTGGGGGTTCTGTCACGTCGGGTGAGGAGATCAGGGTGCGTTTACTGAGCTCATGTCGGTCATTCAAATCCAAAAGTGTTCACATTACGACATTCTGTAAACAAGCCGGATTGTTAGACGTTGTATGTGATTTAAGGGACAAAGAAATGACACCACATACTGACATACTGAATTCTGTTTCATGTTTATAGTCCCCGCCATTTCCCGAGATTGTGCTGTAATCTTTCCACACCCAGAAACCAGTCTACACAATAGTGTAGTCATCCATGAGTCATATCCTGTATATTGTGTTTATTTTGATAAACAGTAAGCTAATAAAAACTTGTCTCTAACTGCGGATTCGAGACGACAGATTTCACAAATGGATTTTCAAAGCACTTGAAAACATTTTTGAAAAAGGTTTGCTAACAGAATATTATTTGATCTTGTAACCCGTGTGCACATGAGTGTATGTCGTGACGTAAACAGGGACGGGTTGTGTACCGCCTTCTATTCTTTGTCCGTTCAAAGGTAACATGACGTGTAAGCTATACTTAACTGGCCTGGAGACATGCGCATTCAGCAGTGAGTGGCGTCATACTATATGATATCTCCGTCTTACCGACGACAAACGCTCAGTTGCAGTCAGCGAGCCGAAGTAGACAGTCACTGCCGAAGTCTGCTGATGTGACGCTTGCTTATTTCGTGTCTGTCATCTGCAGAGGTGGGGGAATTTGTTTATGTATACGAGACGATAAACGTGTGTTGTACCATCTTATCAGCTATTCACGAACATTGTACATGAACATAAAAGACCAAAGGAAGAAAAGAATTTACATACCAGAGTGTTTGTAATATTTCCCAAATAACTAAAGAAGTCGTAAGTGCTTCTTGAAATGAGTAAAAGCGTTTGGTATTTTGATCCATTGATTTTGTTTTTTACAAAAACATTAATTATCTGCAGGCCAAGCATCAAGAACGAAGACATGTGGCTGCGATGGTTGACGGCAACCCTGTTGGCGGTGTCACTCTATTTAGGTACGTAAACATGTCATGATTCTTAATAAGAAAATGTTTTAAATATAGTCTTACATTTTGTGTTTATGTCACGTAATTTCAACTGATGGTCAATGCATTTACGTTGCAGTCGAATCCAGACATTCATGTGAAATAGACGGATGTGTACATGGCAACGGCCACTTAAAGTGCCAATCGTGCAGGATTGGTTGTTGGGGGTCCAATTGCAGTTCTTCATGCTGGAAACACTGTCACAGGGACGGATGTGACAGAAACACAGGGACATGTTTCCTGTGTAAACCAGGGTTCCACGGGCCACGTTGTGACAGTCAATGTTCACCGAGATGCTCAGGCAACCAACTGGACCATTTAACTCACTGCGATCGAGACACTGGTGAGTGTTATGAGACGTGTCAAGACTCGGCTGGCACAAACTGTGATAGGCGTTGTCCATCGAACTGCAGGAGTAACAGATGTGATAAACTTACAGGGAAATGTCTGATTGGGTGTCAGTCGGGTTGGAAAGGAGACTTCTGTGACACATCCTGTGGCAGCTGTCTTGGGGGAAGATGTAGCAGCAACGGCTACTGCCTGGATGGGTGCACAGCAGGTTTCTACGGCAAGATGTGTGAACGAACTTGTCCTCATTGTTGGACCACTGGTTGTGACAGACAGACTGGGATATGTGAACAGTGTCATCCTGGTTACCATGGAAACCACTGTAACAGGAACTGTTCGGACCAATGTTATATGGACCGGGGTGGTGACAGGAACTGTGATAGGGTTGATGGTAAATGTACGCAAGGCTGTAAGCCTGGGTGGCATGGACCCCACTGTAAGACGCAGTGTAGTGAATATTGCAAGTCCCAGTGTTACAGTGAGAATGGCATCTGTATAGGGGGCTGTGTAAAAGGTCATTACGGCAAACATTGCCAAAAGAAATGCATACATTGTAAATACGATGAATGTCACCACCATGGCCGCTGTAGCCAGTGTCCAGATGGTTTTTATGGACACAGCTGTGACCAACCATGTCCTGGGGCCTGTGATACATGTGATCGCAACGGTCGGTGTAGCCAGTGTATAGATGGCAAATATGGCAAAAGCTGTGACCAGCCCTGTCCTTGGGGTTGTGTTTCATGTGATCGTGAGGGAAAGTGTACACTTGCACGGGGTGGAGAACCTAGTAGTTCTGGTGCCACCATGTATACTGACACAGTCTTAACCCTCGGTGGTGTTCTGTACATTATCATCATTGTCGTTTAGGACGGACGGTAATGAAACATTCGTAACGGAAGGGTCCTTACCTCTTGATTGTGAGGCACTTTGATCGGGTGTCTCTAGATTTCAAGTCTGGTAAGGGCTCAACTGTACAATGGTTCATTTCAAGTCTGACGCTAACAGCTTAACACAACATATTTGACAGTTTGTTACATGTGCTATTTTTCATCTGGGAAGATCTCTCACAGTTATAATATAAAAACGTTGTACTTTTGTGTAATTAGGATAAGAAAAATAATGCAGCAAGACAATTGTTATATATTCATATCGAAACGTTTGTATATATTACATTGTGTACATTAATTGGTTATATTTCTCTGAATTTTGAATAAACATTTATACATCATCTTTGTCTTTTTATATTGCTGTTTCTTTTAACTTAAGATCGACTCCGTGGTCTAGTAGATAGAGAGTTTTCCCGGAGTGAGGAATGTCAGTGGTTCGATCCCTGGCCGCGTCATATCAAAAGATGTTAAAAAATAGTACTTGTTGCTACCCTGCCTGGTGTTTGGCATTAAGGGGATAAAACTATGACAGGCCGGCTTGGAGCATAACCTGCTTGAGTTGGATATCCATGTTTAACTGCGGCATGGTGTCTCTGTTGGTTGGCATTAGACCGGACCAGTACAAACACACACACACACACACACACACACACACACACACACACACACACACACACACACACACACACACACACGCACGCACGCACGCACGCACGCACGCACGCACGCACGCAAACACACGTGCTGACACAAATATAATTTCAAACACATTAATGTGGATTTAATTTGGTGGATGTTCTGGACAGTATTATGTTGTGGGTCCCAATATATTTTTGTCCCCTCTCACAGGGAAATAACTGCTGACTGAAAAAAATTACACCCCACCCCACCCCCCAAGTGCATAAAGAGCGGGTGTTGCGAAGAGGCCATGTTATGGATCGGGTGGCCAGGCTCGGAGACTTTTGTTAGCCTGATGTGGTACCTCGTTACTCATGATATCAGTCACCGGATTGTCTGGTCCAGATTTACAGCCTGCTATGACATAGTTGTAATATTGCTGAGTGTGGCGTTTCAGAACAAACGTAACCTGTCACAGTCCTGTTAAAACACGACGCTAATCTAGATCAGATTCTGTATTTTACTGTGATGTCTCTTATATTGACGGGAATCTTGATTACAATGAAACAATTAAAAGAAGTACTATGAAACACGTATAAGAAAACACTATGAGTGAGTGAGTGAGTGAGTGAGTGTGCAGTCAGCGATGTCCCTACATCACGGCAGTCTGTACACTCAACTCACTGACTCAGTCTACTGCCCGCACACAATTACATCTGGTGGGAAGGTGATAAACACTTGTATAAACATGTCGTCTCCTCACCTGAGATAACACATACATTATCATATTGTGTTGACGTCTTGTGATTCATTGAATCTTCTAAAAATATTTAAATCATGTGTAGTTTGGGACGTGTATAGTTGAGAGACACGTGTCGTTAATGACGAGTAGTTTAGGCGATGTTCGTTTAGAACGTGTAGTTTATGACGTGTGGTTTAAGGCATGTGTAGATTAGGAGATGTGTAGTTTAAGAGATGTGTAGTTTAGGACGTGTTTAGTTTAGAATATGTGTAGTTTAAGACGCGTGGCCATTTTAAAATAATATTTTACAAAATATTAGTCATGCCGAGATGACATTTCAGATCTGGTTACATATACAGACATCAATGAGGAGTTGTCACACGAGGGTTGAGTAATGCATTCAAACAAATAAAAGCGATAAAAAACATTTCCATTTTCATAACCAATCCCTGCTAAAAGCAGAGTTGGTTAACGATTCCGACTATATCATAAGCAGTTTTTTTATATATCACCATCAGATAGTGATGATACCAGGTGTTCGCGAAAAGCAATTTACTCCCCAATCACGTGAAAGATTACGTAATACACCACTCTGTTTGAGATGGTCTGCAATAAAGAAAAGCTGGCACGTAGCCAGATTTTTAAACATGCCTATATATAGCTTACCTGATTACATATGCATTATGGCAGATATTGGGGTTCAAGATCGCTTTGTAACCTCGTGCTGAGTTGAATCCCAAACACGTGAACACACCGTGTCATGTCCATTAAATTAGCGGCGCCTAAAGCGTGTGTGGTCGAGTTCGTGCGGTATTCAGACAGACCGCCTCCGTGGTCTAGTGGTAGTGCGTCCGCCCGGAGAGGGGAAGGCCCGGGGTTCGATCCCCGGCCATTAACAAATGGTACCTTGTTGTTACCCTGTCTGGCGCTCGGCATTAAGGGGCTAAAACTAGGACTGGTCGGCTAGGAGTCAGTATACTGTGTCTGAGTGGGGTATTCAAGTTAAACTGCGGCATGGTATCTCAGTGAGCTACCACTATAAATCGGCATCAGTCCGGACTAGTACAAGCAGCCACACACGCACGTGCATGCACGTCGCTATATAAGTATATATCTTGGACGCGCCTTTAAACCCAATTTCACCTCACCTGGTATTCAGGCAGATTTGATTATCTGGTTCTGAATCACCAAACAAACATTCGCTACATGTTTACCAACAGTTGGACGTCGTGACATTACTTGTGCTTATTTCTCAAGAATCTGGTAATGTTGGTATCTCAACTTTTAAAAACTCTCCCGAGCTAACTACTCCACGAATGACGAGGAGCAGGAGGATGAGGAGGAGGAGGAGGAGGATAACTAGTTCCAAATCGTGTTGCTTGTTCTGTATCCAGCTTAATCTCACCAGACACGACATTGTATAATATATAAGTGTCCGCATCTGTCTGAAGTTCTTCTTTCGCACATCGACTGTTGCCAACTGTTCTCTATGCGTTAGGACCAATCATAAACTATTTCAGTAAACATTTACATATCTATATCTATCTTAATCATTTACAAGTTCAAATGACAATCATGAGCTTTCTGTCACAGGTATATAATTAGGAGGAAAAAAACATCGCATGGATCGACGTTTCCCAACATCTTCTCTGTCAGGGCATTACCTAGGTGTCATCACAAACGCTTGGAAGCATTAAATCAATGAAGCACCTTGCGCCCGGACAACATACGAGTAACCTTACAAAGAAAGTACAAGCGTTATCCTGATACATTTCCATAGTTGTAATAAGGTGGTGCTTAATGCTTGCGTACGTGTATATATCTACAGCATGTGAATCTGAGATATGTATTGTATATGGCACTTAGTGTATACTCCAACCTTCCCTCCGTGACATGGGACAATACTGAAATGCAGTTGTATGACTAGTGATGACATCTCCAGTACACTGTATTGTTAACATGTGTAAGCCATCTGGGTAACTGTAAAGGGGGACGCTGGCGGGTAGCCAAAGGCTTAGACATGTCTATAAATAAATAGCCTACAACATGGCGGTGATAAGTGGTTCTGCTTTTACATCGTTGTATCAGTTCCTAGTGCATCGTGGTTGAGGGGCAATCACCACTAACATACAGGTAATCTACAACCTTCAGTCTCTCATCTCAAATATGCATATATGAAACAGTGCACGTGTGATGAAATGATAGTATGTGTATCCGTGCACAGACACAATTAGGTGTTCTTGTGCAATAAGCATTCGGAAGTCACGATCACATTCTTGTCTATGTGACGAAGCAAACTGATAAGGTCCCCGGAATGTCTCAAGCACAAGCCCGAGACACAAGATGTACTTCCTCCCATGTGTTTGTATTGTCTTAACCTGTAATATCTCCTAAAAGACATGCTCAATTTCAACTACTAGTATGGTAGATTGGTTTGTTTTTTTAAATTGAGCCTTCAGGCTATCAGAGCGTGCAAGTGTGTCATATTCATGTAAAGAAACACTTAACATTCATACGATGCTATACGTTTGGTACTTTCTGAAAGGTTGCAGAACTCATGGGACGAATGGGTGTTTGCATAGTATCCTTCAAGTTATGCTTTGATAAAAGGAAGTACATGACCATTAGTACATACTGCATTGTATAGCTTAATACCACTACAAACATCCTACATGTACCTTCTACACTGTACACGTATCTGAATATGGCAGCTGCCCTGTAGGTATTGAGTGTGTATTAGATCAGATCACCAGACGTTGGTTAGTCGGTTACAAAACCAATAATGATAAAAAGGAAAACATTCAAGTGGTGAAAATAATGTCGTAAACATTTTGTTATAGAAGTGTTATTACCACAAGATATGATCATGATAGCTTTACTCAAATGCTACAGTTAGGAAAATCATATTTGTAAAGTCATATGTACATGATCAAGTCTGTGTTGTTCCTCCATTGCAGATCTCAGTCATCGATGTGCATCTCAGAGTTTCTCTACAGTAATCAAGAAGATGGAACTGGCAGAGAGTTCAATTCATGACCCGAAACTCATATATGTATTTGTATCAACATTTTCGTTTATTTTACCCGAAGGCAAGTATCTGACATACAACTGGATGAAATCATTATTTATACATATACCTATTTACATGTTGAACCTCTTTCAAAATATTAAGATCTATTGTTAGTTTACCATGTCTTGTATAAAAACAAAAACGTTTAAGAAAACTACATCACTTCCCGACTTGGAAGTTGTCACTCAGCAAATAAATGTCCTATCACAATAATGTATACAATGGTTGTTTTGCAGTGATCGCCTTATCTACATGCGACGGTGGATGTTATAACTTGGCTTGTTCTTCCTGCAACACGGGCTGTTTCGGAATCAGCTGCAAAAACCCATGTAGCGACCTTTGTAAATCCAGCGTATGTGAGAAAGAAAATGGAGTGTGTTTGTCCTGTATAGATGGTTATTACACTAAAAACTGCGACACCAAGTGCCCAGTGAACTGTGCAAATAATACGTGCCAGAGAAACAACGGGACATGTTCTCACCATTGCATCGAAGGATGGTATGGAAGACACTGCAACAGAAGCTGTCCTGGCCACTGCAAGTACAGAGCATGTAATATGCAACATGGGAAATGCGATGACGGATGTTCAGCGTTATGGTCCGGTAACTATTGTAACATAACATGTCAACACTGTTTGCAAAGTCTATGTGCTACAAAGCTACAGTGTAATTTTGTTTGTGAAAATGGTACGTTATGTGATCGCACATGCAGACATAAATATTCATCATCTATGCAGTACAGCGTGGCATTAGGAAGTTGTACAGACGTTCGAAGAGACCGAGGATGTTCAGTCAGCTGTATGGTCCACGCTACTGGTGGTTCATCGGTGAGTACCTGATGTCTATGATATATTAGGTTTCGTTTCTGGTTACATATACTCGTACTTGAGGTCAGCCCCGTGACGATCCGGGTTAGAATAGTTTTTCAGCAACCCGTGCTTGTCATAAGAAGTGACTATGTTTGTCGTAAGAGGCGATTAACGGGATCGCTTGACCAAGCTCGCTGATTTCGTTGATGCATGTCATCGTTTCCCATTTGCGTAGATCGATGCTCATGTCAATCACTGGATTGTCTGGCCCAGACTCTATTACTTACAGACAGCCGTCATACAGATGAAATACTGCTGAGTGCGGCGTTAAACAACAAACAAATACACAAACTTAAGGTTAACAGCCGAATACAACAGAAGATCGTTTCAATTATGGGGTCGACTGATGTATTCCTTGTCACATTTGAAAATAACTAATTTTATGCAAGTCAGACAAGAATGGTAATAATACTTAATGAAAACACATTTCAAAATTTCAGACTGTTCATGTGGGCATAACCCTATTGCTTCTCACATGGCTCATTTGTCTCCTGATACATCTGACTGTGAGTATCAATATGTCACATAGTACAGAGACATTTAGTGGCTTCTTCTATTGCTGCCCCCTTACATTAAAGATGGTTGACATATATTTAGAATACAAGTATTTGTGTAAGCCTGAAGGAAACCAAGTGTCATCATTGATCAGTTTGAATTATTATTATTCTTTTGAACCTTTTTGCTTTCGTCAAGAAATCAGTATGTGGTTTTGTGTTCTGTCTTTTGTCTCCTTGGGAGGATGAAGCTGATCATTAAGTGCAGGATCCATATGAGCACAGCGGATGTTGTGGGAATATGTTGTGAAAAAACTAATTATAGTCAAAATTAATGATAGAATTTATACATATATATATTTAAGATTGTGTCTTACTGTTATAAATTAATGGATCATATATGTATGGTTGCAAACAGATCATAATCATGTTTCTTTCCCTTTTGTTGGCGCAGAAAGAAACGAACCCATCACAGACTGCCTCTGCACCCAGGACGTAGAAGTTTTCATGTTGTTCATGTCGACGTTTCTAAGCCAATGAGGAAGAATTTCTTGGTTGGCAAATGACCGATCACCCCCGAGTCAAACAAGTGTTCACCCTCGAAATGTCTTCTACAATTCCCATCTGAAATACAGCTCAAGAACTTTTATAAAGTTTTTTCAATTACAAGTACCGTTATTAAATAGCGATAGTGTACTCAATGTTTGAACTTGTAAATGTCACGTGTCAACATCCACTCAGCGGTGTGATACAGAAACATCGTTTGTATGAATTATAAAAATTATAGCGCGTGGTTACACGTGGAAGTGTGTTCAGGTTGTCACACCCACTTTGATATCTAAGGCAGATTCAGCTTTTTAACAGTGGTACGATTTGTAAACATGATGTATAGTTCGCGCATGAATACATCGCAATGTCGTGGTTCCAGGTATAAGCAGATTACATTATTCTTCTGTGTTTATTTCCCACTATTTAACCCAGCCGAGGTTATGCACTCCTTAGAGTGTTGAGTTAATTAACTCTTAGTTGTTAACTGGTCGCAGCCAACTCAATTAACTGTCCATGTATCTTGTCAATTATCTTGTCAAAATGTTAATTTAGCTACTCTTTTTATTACTGTTTACATTTGCATAGCTAATCATAGCTTTATAATTGTTCTGGTTTAATTAATCAGTGATCGTTGTCAGGGTAAATTGGGTATTTTATCCTATGTATTGTCATCTGTACTTACAAACAGCTGATAATAATATACCTGTGAGCTTATTACCACGTGTTCATTATTACTTCATTCTTGTTTAACGACACCCTGGTCTGGGGCACAGCTCCGTGACATTGACATTTTCTTGACATCAAACAATTGTTATCATTGGGTGTAAATTCAATGAATACCCCTTCTATTACATAATAGCTTAACACCACATTCAGCAATATGACCGTGGCCTGTAAATAATCGAGTCTGGACCAGACAATCTAGTGATTGATATTGTGAAAGACCCAAGCCCTCGCGGTCCGATGACATGCAAACCGGATCCATTTAGTCGCCGCTTACGACCTGCATGTCAGCTGTACTGAAAGCAAATATATATTCCTTGGTTGCTTTGTTTTGATCAGACAGCATGGTTGTCTCAGTTGTCTGAAGAAAGGCAACTCACAGTACAGAGCTGCGTCCCTTAGGCGTGCCAGAAACCTAATATCTTGGTTCGAATCACACAATCGAAAAGATAATGCTTCTAGTGTGTGGTGTAATCAGTAAAGTGTGAGTGCAATCAGGGCAGTGTGTGGTGTAATCAGTATTGTGTGTGGTGCAATCAGTATAGTGTGTGGTGCAATCAGTGTAGTGTGAGGTGTAATCAGTATTGTGTGTGGTGTAATCACTATAGTGTGTTGTGTAATCAGTATAGTGTGTGGTGCAATCAGTATAGTGTGAGGTGTAATCAGTATTGTGTGTGGTGCAATCAGTATAGTGTGTGTGGTGCAATCAGTATAGTGTGTGATGCAAACATTGTAGTGTGTGGTGCAATCAGTATAGTGTGTTGTGTAGTCAGTATAGTGTGTGGTGTAATCACTATAGTGTGTTGTGTAGTAAGTATAGTGCGTGGTGCAATCAGTATAGGGTGTGGTGTAATCAGTATAGTGTGTGGTGTAATCAGTATAGTGTGTGGTGCAATCAGTATAGTGTGTGGTGCAATCAGTATAGTGTGTGGTGTAATCAGTATAGTGTGGTGCAAACAGTGTAGTGTGTGGTGTAATCAGTATAGTGTGTGGTGTAATAAGTATAGTGTGTGGTGCAATCAGTATAGTGTGTGGTGCAATCAGTATAGTGTGTGGTGCAATAAGTATAGTGTGTTGTCCACTCAGTATAGTGTGTGGTGCAATAAGTATAGTGTGTGGTGCAATCAGTATAGTGTGTGGTGCAATCAGTATAGTGTGAGTGCAATCATTATAGTGTGTGGTGCAATCAGTATAGTGTGACGGGCAATCATTATAGTGTGTTGTGTAGTCAGTATAGTGTGTTGTGTCATCATTATAGTGTGTGGTGTAATCACTATAGTGTGAGTGCAATCACTATAGTGTGTGGTGTAATCAGTATAGTGTGACAGGCAATCAGTATAGTGTGTTGTGTAATCATTATAGTGTGTGGTGCAATCAGTATAGTGTGTGGTGTAATCAGTATAGTGTGTTGTGTAGTCAGTATAGTGTGTTGTGTAGTCAGTATAGTGTGTGGTGCAATCACTATATTGTGTGGTGTTATCAGTAAAGTGTGTGGTGTAATCACTATAGTGTGTGGTGCAATAAGAATAGTGTGTGGTGTAATCACTATAGTGTGTGGTGCAATCAGTATAGTGTGTGGTGCAATCAGTATAGTGTGTGGTGCAATCAGTATGGTGTGTGGTGTAATCTGTATAGTGTGTGGTGCAAACAGTGTAGTGTGTGGTGCAATCAGTATAGTGTGTGGTGCAATCAGTGTAGTGTGAGGTGTAATCAGTAAAGTGTGTGGTGTACTCAGTATAGTGTGTGGTGCAATCAGTATAGTGTGTGGTGCAATCAGTATAGTGTGTGGTGCAATCAGTATGGTGTGTGGTGTAATCTGTATAGTGTGTGGTGCAAACAGTGTAGTGTGTGGTGCAATCAGTATAGTGTGTGGTGCAATCAGTGTAGTGTGTGGGGCAATCAGTAAAGTGTGTGGTGCAAACAGTGTAGTGTGAGGTGTAATCTGTATAGTGTGTGGTGCAAACAGTGTAGTGTGTGGTGCAATCAGTGTAGTGTGTGGTGCAATCAGTGTAGTGTGAGGTGTAATCAGTATAGTGTGTGGTGTAATCACTATAGTGTGTGGTGCAATCAGTATAGTGTGTGGTGCAATCAGTATAGTGTGTGGTGCACTCAGTATAGTGTGTGGTGTACTCAGTATAGTGTTTGGTGCAATCACTATATTTTGTGGTGCTATCAGTATAGTGTGTGATGCAATCAGTATAGTGTGTGGTGTAATCAGTATAGTGCGTGGTGCAATCAGTATAGTGTGTGGTGCAATCAGTATAGTGTGTGGTGCACTCAGTATAGTGTGTGGTGCAATCGGAATAGTGTGTGGTGCAATGAGTGTACAGAGAAAGGTCATTCAAGGTGAGGTGATTAATTAACTGCTTCAGTGAATAGCATAATGCCAGTACAATTCTTGAAAACAACGACACAGTCAGGGTATCAATAAAACATGACTTATGTCATTTCTTTTATTGTGGAAAACTAAACATGAATGCATTACATTACAGGCTGACTGAGGTATAATATGGCGAAGTCAGTATGCAGGTATATTTACAATCAACATCATACAAACAATTTCTTGCTGGTGTGCCTCACCATTTTGACAATACTGTTCATTACGTCCTTCAATGCCCCAATCATTCATAATATTGATCATGAAATGTTGCAATGGACAAACTTCAACTTCTGATGAAGAAATCTCTATGAAGAAGTTTATATACTAATGTTTGATTTCACCACACAAACGAGTGATTAGAACAATAAAGTGTCAAATTAGCCAATAGTTTGTATAAAAATACTGCAATCACATATTACATTATGCTCTGTAAATGTTGGCACATTCTGTGTATTCTGTATACGTTTGTTCTGTGGTGTATGTTTAAGTATAATAAGTATAAATACATCATGTAGAAAGAAAATTACTTAATCCTTGTTTGCTGACAAAAAAGAAAATATCAAAAATAAATTTGATCCTCTGGATACTTGAATACTGAGACCTCCTGGTCACAAAAGACTGTTCTGTACTCTGCTTAATCCATTTGACCAAAACAATCTCTAAGGGTATATTGCTGTTTCATCAACAATGGTCACATCATGTTTTTCATCTTACATGTTACACAGCTGTCAACACACTAGTCGGGGAACCAGTCAACACACGAGGCTACACACCTGTCAACACACTAGTCAAGACACCAGTCAACACATGAATCTACACACCTGCCAACACACTAGTTGAGGCACCAGTCAACACACGAATCTACACATCTGTCAACACACTAGTCGAGGAACCAGTCAACACACGAGTCTACACACCTGTCAACACACCAGTCGGGACACCAGTCAACACACGAATCTACACACCTGTCAACACACTAATCGAGACACCAGTCAACACACGAATCTACACATCTGTCAACACACTAGTCGGGACACCAATCAACACATGAGGCTACACACCTGTCAACACACTAGTCGGGGAACCAGTCAACACACGAGTCTACACACCTGTCAACACACTAGTCAACACACCAGTCAACACACGAGTCTACACACCTGTCAACACTCTAGTCGAGACACGAGTCAACACACGAATCTACACACCTGTCAACACACTAGTTGAGGCACCAGTCAACACACGAATCTACACATCTGTCAACACACTAGTCGAGACACCAGTCAACACACGAGTCTACACACCTGTCAACACACCAGTCGGGACACCAGTCAACACACGAATCTACACACAAGTCAACACACTAGTCGGGACACCAGACAACACACAAATCTACACATCTGTCAACACACTAGTCAGGACACCAGTCAACACATGAGGCTACACACCTGTCAACACACTAGTCGGGGAACCAGTCAACACAAGAGGCTACACACCTGTCAACACACTAGTCGAGACACCAGTCAACACACGAGTCTACACACCTGTCAACACACCAGTCGGGACACCAGTCAACACACGAATCTACACACAAGTCAACACACTAGTCGGGACACCAGACAACACAAGGGGCTATACACCTGTCAACACACTAGTCGGGACACAAGTCAACACATGAGGCTACACACCTGTCAACACACTAGTCTACACACCTGTCAACACACTAGTCTACACACCAGTCAACACACTAGTCTACACACCAGTCAACACACGAATCTACACACCTGTCAACACACTAGTCGAGTCACCAGTCAACACACTAGACTACCGACCTGTCAACACACTAGTCTACACACCAGTCAACACATGAATCTACACACCTGTCAACACACTTGTCGAGACACCAGTCAACACACTAGACTACACACCTGTCAACACACTAGTCTACACACCAGTCAACACATGAATCTACACACCTGTCAACACACTAGTCGAGTCACCAGTCAACACACTAGACTACACACCAGTCTACACACGAATCTACACACCTGTCAACGCACTAGTTGAGACACCAGTCAACACACTAGACTACACACCTATCAACACACTAGTCGGGGAACCAGTCAACACACGAATCTACACATCTGTCAACACACTAGTTGAGGCACCAGTCAACACACAAATCTACACATCTGTCAACACACTAGTCGAGACACCAGTCAACACACGAGTCTACACACCTGTCAACACACCAGTCGGGACACCAGTCAACACACGAATCTACACACCTGTCAACACACTAGTCTACACACCAGTCTACACACAAATCTACACACCTGTCAACACACTAGTTGAGGCACCAGTCAACACACAAATCTACACATCTGTCAACACACTAGTCGAGACACCAGTCAACACACGAGTCTACACACCTGTCAACATACCAGTCGAGACACCAGTCAACACACCAGTCGAGACACCAGTCAACACACTAGACTACACACCTGTCAACACACTAGTCTACACACCAGTCTACACACGAATCTACACACCTGTCAACGCACTAGTCGAGACACCAGTCAACACAAGAGGCTACACACCTGTCAACACACTAGTCGAGACACCAGTCAACACACGAGTCTACACACCTGTCAACACACTAGTTGAGGCACCAGTCAACACACAAATCTACACATCTGTCAACACACTAGTCGAGACACCAGTCAACACATGAGTCTACACACCTGTAAACACACCAGTCGGGACACCAGTCAACACACGAATATACACACAAGTCAACACACTAGTCGGGACACCAGACAACACAAGGGGCTACACACCTGTCACCACACTAGTCGAGACACCAGTCAACACACTAGACTAAACACCTGTCAACACACTAGTCTACACACCAGTCAACACACTAGTCTACACAACAGTCAACACATGAATCTACACACCTGTCAACACACTAGTCGAGACACCAGTCAACACACGAATCTACACACCTGTCAACACACTAGTCGAGACACCAGTCAACACACTAGACTTCCGACCTGTCAACACACTAGTCTACACACCAGTCAACACATGAATCTACACATCTGTCAACACACTTGTCGAGACACCAGTCAACACACTAGACTACACACCTGTCAACACACTAGTCTACACACCAGTCTACACACGAATCTACACACCTGTCAACGCACTAGTCGAGACACCAGTCAACACACTAGACTACACACCTGTCAACACACTAGTCTACACACCAGTCTACACACGAATCTACACACCTGTCAACGCACTAGTCGAGACACCAGTCAACACACTAGACTACACACCTGTCAACACACTAGTCTACACACCAGTCTACACTCGAATCTACACACCTGTCAACACACTCGTCGAGACACCAGTCAACACACTAAACTACACACATGTCAACACACTAGGCGAGACACCAGTCAACACACTAGACTACACACCTGTCAACACACTAGTCTACACACCAGTCTACACACGAATCTACACACCTGTCAACACACTAGTTTAGGCACCAGTCAACTAACAGTCGACGCGCCAGTCCAGAGGGTCCAGAGGTGGTATTCAATCAGAATGGAGAGCCTAGACACTGCATACTAGAGCATGAATACATGACACGTTTATGGACAGCAACTTCTTTTATTCTTTGTCACAAATATTCAGAGCTACCTCTTGTTCCATCATCATCCATACATGTGTCATACGTTCATGTTCTTCCAACTTCTAATTTCTATCAATGACTGCATACTAGAGGATGTTTAAGTCTGAAATGCACTTATACACAACTACTAGACTGAGTAAGGTGCATGTACCTGCTGATAAAGGCAGAAAAGCAACCAACTTGTCCACTGTTCACTTCAGACTAGTTTATGCAAAATTAGACGATTAGGTGACTCAAAAGAAATCTACAAATCTTTAAAACATTTCACTGGTCCCCGACAAGCAGGGCAGTGAGTGTGTTGAACCATACTAGTGTTTTATGTGTAAAATGATATAGTTATTACCATTGCAAAATGGTTCTGTCAGCGACAAAGTTGCCTTTGGGGGTTGTAGTGTTCCTGGCCAGGAGTGCAAGGTATACTATGGAGTCAGCACCTGGAATAAATATGTGACATATCTCACTTCTGCCCTAGAACTATGTAGGGCTGACAAGCATATGGCGCTCCCACATCAATTCTGCCCTAGAACTATGTAGGGCTGACAAGCATATGGCGCTCCCACATCAATTCTGCCCTAGAAATATGTAGAGATGGCAAGCAGTGGGCGCCCTGTATCAACTGTGCCTTAAAACTATATAAAGATGGCAAGCAGTGGGTGCCCCACATCAATTCTGACCTAGAACTAAGTAGAGATGGCAAGCAGAGAGTGCCCCACATCAATTCTGCCCTAGAACTATGTAGAGATGGCAATCAGTGGGTGCCCTACATCAATTCTGCCCTAGAACTATATAGAGATGGCAAGCAGAGAGTGCCCCACATCAATTCTGCCCTAGAACTATATAGAGATTGCAAGCAGAGAGTGCCCTACATCAATTCTGTCTTGGAACTATATAGAGATAGCAAGCAGTGGGTGTCCAACATCAATTCTGTCTTGGAACTATAAGAAATGGCAAGCAGTTATTGCCCCGCATCAATTCTGCCCTAGAACTATATAGAGATAGCAAGCAGTGGGTGCCCCATATCAATTCTGCCCTAGAACTATATAGAGATGGCAAGCAGTGGGTGCCCCACATCAATTCTGTCTTGGAACTATATAGAGATAGCAAGCAGTGAGAGCCCCACATCAATTCTGCCCTAGAACTATATAGAGATGGCAAGCAGTGGGTGCCCTACATCTATTCTGCCCTAGAACTATATAGAGATTGCAAGCAGTGGGTGCCCCACATCAATTCTGCCCTAGAGCTATATAGGGATGGCAAGCAGAGAGTGCCCCACATCAATTCTTCCCTAGAACTATATAGAGATGGCAAGCAGAGAGTGCCCTTCATCAATTCTGCCCTAGAACTATATAGAGATGGCAAGCAGTGGGTGCCCTACATCAATTCTGCCCTAGAACTATATAGAGATGGCAAGCAGTGGGTGCCCCACATCACTTCTGCCCTAGAACTATATAGAGATGGCAAGCAGTGGGTGCCCCACATCAATTCTGTCTTGGAACTATATAGAGATGGCAAGCAGTGGGTGCCCCACATCAATTCTGCCCTAGAACTATATAGAGGTGGCAAGCAGTGGGTGCCCAACATCAATTCTGCTCTAGAACTATATAGAGATTGCAAGCAGTGGGTGCCCCACATCAATTCTGCCCTAGAGCTATATAGGGATGGCAAGCAGAGAGTGCCCCACATCAATTCTTCCCTAGAACTATATAGAGATGGCAAGCAGAGAGTGCCCTTCATCAATTCTGCCCTAGAACTATATAGAGATTGCAAGCAGTGGGTGCCCCACATCAATTCTGCCCTAGAGCTATATAGGGATAGCAAGCAGAGAGTGCCCCACATCAATTCTTCCCTAGAACTATATAGAGATGGCAAGCAGAGAGTGCCCTTCATCAATTCTGCCCTAGAACTATATAGAGATGGCAAGCAGTGGGTGCCCTACATCACTTCTGCCCTAGAACTATATAGAGATGGCAAGCAGTGGGTGCCCCACATCACTTCTGCCCTAGAACTATATAGAGATGGCAAGCAGTGGGTGCCCCACATCAATTCTGTCTTGGAACTATATAGAGATAGCAAGCAGTGGGTGCCCCACATAAATTCTGCCCTAGAACTATATAGAGATAGCAAGCAGTGGGTGCCCCACATCAATTCTGCCCTAGGACAAAGTAGAGGTGGCAAGCAATGGGTGCCCTTCATCAATTCTGCCCTAGAACTATATAGAGATGGCAAGCAGTGGGTGCCCCATATCAATTCTGCCCTAGAACTATATAGAGGTGGCAAGCAGTGGGTGCCCCACATCAATTCTGCTCTAGAACTATATAGAGATGGCAAGCAGTGGGTGCCCCACATCAATTCTGCCCTAGAACTATATAGAGATGGCAAGCAGTGGGTGCCCCACATCAATTCTGTCTTGGAACTATTTAGAGATGGCAAGCAGTTAGTGCCCCGCATCAATTCTGCTCTAGAACTATATGGAGATGGCAAGCAGTGGGTGCCTCACATCAATTCTGCCCTAAAACTATATAGAGATAGCAATCAGAGAGTGCCCCACATCAATTCTGCCCTAGAACTATATAGAGATGGCAAGCAGAGAGTGCCCCACATCAGTTCTGCCCTAGAACTATATAGAGATGGCAAGCAGAGAGGTCCCCACATCAGTTCTGTCCTAGGACTATAAAGGGGGGGGAAGCAGAGAGTGCCCCACATCAATTCTGCCCTAGAACTATGTAGAGATGGCAATCAGTGGGTGCCCTACATCAATTCTGCCCTAGAACTATATAGAGATGGCAAGCAGAGAGTGCCCCACATCAATTCTGCCCTAGAACTATATAGAGATAGCAAGCAGGGGGTGCCCTACATCAATTCTGTCTTGGAACTATATAGAGATAGCAAGCAGTGGGTGTCCCACATCAATTCTGTCTTGGAACTATAAGAAATGGCAAGCAGTTATTGCCCCGCATCAATTCTGCCCTAGAACTATATAGAGATAGCAAGCAGAGAGTGCCCTACATCAATTCTGTCTTGGAACTATATAGAGATAGCAAGCAGTGGGTGTCCCACATCAATTCTGTCTTGGAACTATAAGAAATGGCAAGCAGTTATTGCCCTACATCAGGTCTGCCCTAAAACTATATAGAGATGGCAAGCAGTGGGTGCCCCACATCAATTCTGCCCTAAAACTATATAGAGATGGCAAGCAGTGGGTGCCCTACTCCAATTCTGCCCTAGAACTATATAGAGATAGCAAGCAGTGGGTGTCCCACATCAATTCTGCCCTAGAACTATATAGAGATAGCAAGCCGTGGATGCCCCACATCAATTCTGTCTTGGAACTATATAGAGATAGCAAGCAGTGGGTGCCCGACATCAATTCTGCCCTAGAACTATATAGAGATGGCAAGCAGTGGGTGCCCCACATCAATTCTGTCTTGGAACTATATAGAGATAGCAAGCAGTGAGAGCCCCACATCAATTCTGCCCTAGAACTATATAGAGATGGCAAGCAGTGAGTGCCCCACATCAATTCTGCCCTAGAACTAAGTAGAGATGGCAAAAAGTGGGTGTCCTACATCAATTCTGCCCTAGAACTATATAGAGATGGCAAGCAGTGGTGCCCCACATCAATTCTGTCTTGGAACTATATAGAGATGGCAAGCAGTGAGAGCCCCACATCAATTCTGCCCTAGAACTATATAGAGATGGCAAGCAGTGGGTGTCCTACATCAATTCTGCCCTAGAACTATATAGAGATGGCAAGCAGTGGGTGCCCCACATCAATTCTGCCCTAGAACTATATAGAGATAGCAAGCAGTGGGTGCCCCACATCAATTCTATCTTGGAACTATATAGAGATGGCAAGCAGTGAGTGCCCCACATCAGTTCTGCCTTACATGGGTCTACAAGCATTTGGTGGCAAGCAGTGAGAGCCCCACATCAATTCTGCCCTAAAACTATATAGAGATGGCAAACAGTGGGTGTCCCACATCAATTCTGCCCTAAAACTATATAGAGATGGCAAGCAGTGGGTGCCCCACATCAATTCTGCCCTAAAACTATATAGAGATGGCAAGCAGTGGGTGCCCTACATCAGGTCTGCCCTAAAACTATATAGAGATAGCAAGCAGTGGGTGCCCCACATCAATTCTGCCCTAAAACTATATAGAGATGGCAAGCAGTGGGTGCCCCACATCAATTCTGCCCTAAAACTATATAGAGATGGCAAACAGTGGATGTCCCACATCAATTCTGCCCTAGAACTATATAGAGATGGCAAGCAGTGGGTGCCCCACATCAATTCTGCCCTAGAACTATATAGAGATGGCAAACAGTGGGTGTCCCACATCAATTCTGCCCTAGAACTATATAGAGGTGGCAAGCAGTGGGGTGCCCCACATCAATTCTGCCCTAGAACTATATAGAGATGGCAAGCTGTTGGTGCCCTACATCAGTTCTGCCCTACATGGGTCTACAAGCATTTGGTGTCCAGACCAATTCTGCCCTGGATCCACAAGGAGTCATAGTCCACAGAATAATTCTAGTGTGAATTCACACAGGGAGATAAGCAATTCTTACTGGGAACCTGAACAATGGTATTTCATAAACTGTTACTGAATATTCCATGAGCAACTCTTCATAGCTCACCTTCATCAATGTTCTTTGACCCTGTCTGTCTTGACATGTCAGTTTGCACATGACCAGGGCAGCACTGAAAAGAGTGAGTGAGTGAGTATGGTTTTACGCCGCTTTTAGCAATATTCCAGCAATATCACGGCGGCACTGAAAAGAGGAAAAGAGGAGTCATTAAAGCAATATGCTGTCAAGGTATCAGAAGGTTCACCTTTATTTGTCAATAAAGAAGATGCCCTGAACCGGCTGTTTTGTCAAACCATGTTGCAGGCCTCTATGATATAAAGATCTGTCAAATTGTTGTATGGTTGAACAAGATATTTTTGGTAAGTTGATAAACATATTGATGAATCATTGCGTAACAATCTTTATCATTTAACGAAAGCATTTATCCATGACATAAGCTTGTGACATAGAAACATGTATGTCATACCCCAATGACATAAGTATGCAAATTAGAACAGCGGAAGTAGTACTTTTTCGCCGGGGAGTAGGTGTTTACAAACAACATGGATACCTTTGATGTTGGAGACAATGTTTTAATAGATCAAAGAGGAAGTGCTTCAGTAATATCCGTGCTGACAAATGGATATTACAGGTTACAGGTTGATGGTACCGAATTTGAATTTGACTGTGATGAAGGCAGATTATCCAAAACACCATCGTCGAGCACGGCGAAAAAGACAACGAACACAAACCCTAACGATGCCCAAGGTAGATTTGTTGTTATTGAGGTCGGCATGGTCGATGGTGTGATCCTAGAAAATCAAAAGAAAAAGACAGCCAAGAAAACTTTCTACGATTTGAAACTGTTTGATAATATTTTTTTTTAAGTCCAAAATGAAATACGCCAAATGCATAAAATACCCCAAAACGAACTAGACACACAATTGGGGAAAATTATGAACCAAGCAGTCTCACGGTTTTTCAGAGCAGCATTGAGAGATCAACAAAACGAAGGGGTATGGCTGTTCACCTACATCATCTTTACAATTTTCACGATCACGGGAAGTATTAAAGGGGAGGAAACTTGAACTAAAGAAAGAAGGCCGTGGCAACTTACCAAGGTGAGCTGACCCGTTTGGTGATAAAGAGACAGGTCCCTGTGGCAGTCCGGATCCATTGGAATCAGTAATCTAATGAGCATAATAAACTGTCTATGGCTCTACAACACAATCCAATTCGGGTTAAGAGGTGTCAATGATCACAACAACATGTGTTGGGGGAGACATAACCCTGCATGTTGATGGAGACGAACAAGAATATCATGAACTGTCCATGCGACAAGAAAAGAATAGGTCTGGTGAGAATCCACGTGATGGTCGCGACGAAAGGCCCAAAATGTTGTCTAATGTTGCTGATCCCTCTCGGTGCCATATGCAGGCGTATAAGTTGTATGCCTCCATGTGTCCACTCGACTTCTGTCGAGATGACGATCCCTTTTATAATCTGCACACACACTTTAGGCATGCCTAAACCTGGCGATCAGTGGTTTATCCGCTATCGTATTGGGAAAAACAAACTTTCCTCTCTCATGAAAAACATATGCGATGCTGCCATGCAGTCTCTAAACATCGAAACGACTCACTGATCACTTGTGCAAAAGTTATATAATAATAATGTTATATGATAATAATGTTATATGATAATAATGCATTCTGTGAACAATTACTGCCATATTAATCCTGACCAGCACAAGCAAATATCCAACACTATTTCATGAAACACTCCATCCCGCACTGTGACATTCCAGCTTGTTGATGAAACTCTAATCATGCGGCCCCTTGCATAATGTCCAAATCGCCAGTAGACAACACAGTCAGCGGTCTCAAATTATAAATGTTTCTGGTGGTGTTAATACTATGTTTTCTGGCAACATTACTGGTGGAAACATAACGATTAATCTTGTTAACCTCCAAGCCAGGTTCCAGTCAAAAGACGCCGGATTGACATTGAAAGTGATAGTGGCATCGACTAAAGCATACTCTGACCTCTCCTCGGCGAGATATTGTGGGAGAGCGGTTTGATTCGAGAGCTATATATAAGTGAAATTACACCAGGGATCAAATTACACAGAATCGTTGTTGTTACCATTATTAAAGTTTTAATTATTCTGCGAAACTCTGTTCAAGTATTTAGTTAAAAATAATCCGAGGAACATTTTTTCTCAGCGAATGAATATGCCATGAAGGAGTTACGAGGTTGTTTATTTTGGTCCACAGTAATTTCACACGGCAATGGAAAACATGTACCACTACGCATGATCCATACGTAACATCTCAGCAAGTTACTGATGTCAATGTTAATGCATTTATTCCTTAAAAGGGAAACAATGATGTGAAAATGATAAATAGAATTCATCACTCGTCCCATTTATCGGTATTTGTCGCGCTATGGGCTCGGCAAATACCGTTTAACTAAGACTCGGTTGATCTTTCCCATATTGAAAAACACGAGTGATCCTCTATCTATTCTCTGATGATTCTTGTTATCAAAACTTCTTAAAGCTTCTCACACAAGAGACTAAAACATGAAACCTCCAACTGAAGTTACATGATCATTAAAAATATTCAAAATTGATACCACAAATACAATATATATCTATGAAAATATGAATCCTGTATAGATACAAAGTAATTAGTAGCTGTCATAAAACAATGTGTAAATTAAAACCTAAGATCACTTGTGGAACTAGGCAGGCAGTGCATACAACAGGCATGAGTGTGTTGCCCAGGCATCTAAGGCACCGAATTTGCAGTTCAGACAGAGTTGCATCCCTTAGGTCAGCAAGGATCCAATGATTGTGGGTTTGACTCCAAGATGTACTCTGTGTATTTCCTTGTTTAGTCAGCACCATACTCACCATTGGCATTAAACTCAAATCACTAACTCACCAATATAATTAAAATCATATCTTTACTTCCAATATAATTAAAATCATATCTTTACTTCCAATACAAAACCTCACTGCGTGACAATCTGAGGACACCTACATATGAGGTCCGTCCAACCCTGTGTAAACTTTGAATGTCCACACTAAATGAAGGATGTATTGGTTAGCCTAAGCCAGGTTTGTTAGATGTAAGCTTTTCAAAAGATTCCTTTACCAGTTCAATTCTGAACAAATACAAACCCACAGAGAACATAAATATACCCGTGCTGGTGAACCCTTTAGGTTTGGGCGAAGATGCCATGTGCTCAGAAACAACCAGATGCATGAAAAACTCCAAAACGATATACCAGTGCAGTTCCCTGATCACTTTAATTTTGAGGATACAGCAAGTTCAAGATACGGAGCTCAGTGAGATTGCTCACTCACTTACCGCATTGATGACAATGTCCTCTCTTGGGTCGTTCCTCATGTCCCTATCCTGAATGATGGTCATGATGTTCTTCCCTATCTTGGATGCACCATACGCTGAGCTCGGAAACCCCTGTTCCCGATGTTTACCTGCCTTAGCAGCACTGGCAATATATCAAACATCAGTGTACATGTAGTAAACCTGAACTAGTCTTCACACTACATCATTAAGGCCATACAAGGAAGACACATTAAATTTAATAAAATGTCATATCATTCCCATATTAGTACATATGCATTTTAACGTCTCGCAAAGCTGGCTGATTAGCTGAATAAAGTTACGCCACATTACTGAGACCACAATGACATCGTTCATGTTCATGAGGCTACAAACTGATGACGTCATGCCACTGAATTTACTGAAGTATATTTGATGTGATGTTTCATAAGTTTTTCATTATTTACTTTCTAAAAAATGACGTTCTACAAAAAATGTGAATGCTCACACTGATACAGTGATGCATTATTATCTACACATGAAGTGTGTTGTCATCTCAGAAAACATAGACATATATCACATAAGAAAGCAACCAATAAGCAATGTCACTTGGTGTCAGATTAAGTTCTACTTAAAGTTTATTTGTTGTTTAACCCTGCACCACCCAGGGTTGCTGAATACAAACTTTCCCCCCATCTTTCACAGGGAACACGCAAGGTTTGCTGAAGACCTATTCTTACCCGGATCTTCATAGGGGACACATAAGTGTTGCTGAAGACGTATTCTAAGCCTGACCTTCATGGGTCACTGCTGCCATTGAGTATATACGAGGGGTGTTCATTAAAGATTTCCCCTGACCCACTTCCGATGGACCTAGTGGAATGAAACTTGGCATAGGTATTAGTCTTTCTCCACATAGGAACCACCAAGAGTTACACACTTCTCCCATCGTTTTATGCAACTATGGAGACCTCGCTTGTAAAAGCCCTCATTTTGCGTCTCAAACCAGGACTTGACTTCAGAAATCAGTGTATCATAATCTGTGAAACGTTTCCCTTCAAAAATGACTTCATGGTTGGAAAGAGGTGGAAGTCGGATGGTGCAAGGTCAGGAGAGTAAGGAGGATGTGGAAGGATTTCATAGCCACAGGACCGCGCTTCTGTCTGGGCAACATGAGAGTTGTGTACTGGAGCATTGTCTTGCAGGAGACGGACACCCTTGGTCAGCATGCCACGACTCTTAAGCTTGATAGCGTCCCGCAATTTCCACAGCAGTGAAGCATAATAAGCTCCTGTAATTGTGGTACCCTTTGCCAAGAAATCCATCATCATTACTCCGTGCTGGTCCCAAAACACCGTGAGCATGACCTTGCCTGCAGAGGGTTGGACCTGTGCCTTCTTTGGGGGTGGTGACTCCACATGATTCCATTGCATCGACTGAACTTTAGTCTCAGGATCAGAGTGATGGACCCATGTTTCATCCTGTGTGATAAGTCTGTCAAAAAAGTGGGCGACCAGGAATGGCAGCTGTTTCCACAGATGTCCAACCACACTTCAACTGGCGATGCCAGTGTTTAACAACGTCATATGGGGCATCTTCCCCATAAGTTGCTTTCATTTCATCGAAAGTTTCTTTTGGTGTGCGACCTTTCAAATATAAAAACCTAATCACTGCTCGGTATTCTACTGGCTCCATTGTCACACCCTACTCGATCATAACACCTGTAAAAGTGGTAAGATTAATAGTTTGGTGCTGCAAATTCAGACATAACCCATAGATACATGTATCATTACACATGTGAAATTTCAACCAAATATGATAACCCTAAGTGGTTTCGGGGAAATCTTTAATGAACACCCCTTGTACATACATATATATATACATATCCTCTGTGTGTGTGTATGTGTGTGTGTGTGTATATTTATATATGTCTCTGACTTACTCAACAAACTCTTGCATGATTTTCTCCAGGCCATCCATTGTAAGGGCAGGGTCCCTGAAGCGACCTTGAACAGCGGGGGAACACTGACTGATGGCTCTGTGAGCTAGTACGCTTGACACGTTCACAACCCTGGCAAACACAATCATGTTAACAGCAGCTTTATGCATCTCAATGAATATGGAATTTTAAAAGTAAACATACCAAAGCACCAAGTTTCACCTTTCTTTCTCCTGCAGCCTTGTCATGGGAGATTGCAAGATTGGACTATGTATTTTACAAAACTTCAGTTCTTTTTTCCTGCTATATGATGGTGGCCTATAAATAACTGAGTCTGGATCAAACAACCCAGTGATCAATGTCATCAATCACAGAGGGATACCCAGTCATTTCTACACTGGGGTGGATGTTGAGAGCAAATAACCAGTCCTTCAAGAGTTTCACACCTATCGGACAAGTGGACTAAAGTTTCTGTGGCCAACCCTGGTTGAACAAGTCTACATATGATTTTGCGCTGACTTTACGTTCTTCTGAACATTGTAAAGAGTCCCTGTCAGATGGTTGCCATGGTAAACAACTGATATTCCTAAATACACAATCTCGTGCTTGAAATCAATTATTACAGATGCAAAACCATTTTCCCTGTAAGTGGTGTGACCTTGTATGTTGTCTACTGTAAGGATCTACCCTGTATGTTGTCGCCGGGTATGTTGTCTACTGTAAGGATCTACCCTGTATGTGGTGTGACCTGGTATGTTGTCTACTGTAAGGATCTACCCTGTATGTTGTCTACTGGAAGGATCTACCCTGTATGTTGTCTACTGTAAGGATCTACCCTGTATGTTGTCTACTGTAAGGATCTACCCTGTATGTTGTCTACTGTAAGGATCTACCCTGTATGTGGTGTGACCTTGTATGTTGTAGACTGTAAGGATCTACCCTGTATGTTGTCTACTGTAAGGATCTACCCTGTATATTGTCTACTGTAAGGAGCTACCCTGTATGTGGTGTGACCTGGTATGTTGTCTACTGTAAGGATCTACCCTGTATGTTGTCTACTGTAAGGAGCTACCCTGTATGTGGTGTGACCTGGTATGTTGTCTACTGTAAGGATCTACCCTGAATGTTGTCTACTGGAAGGATCTACCCTGAATGTTGTCTACTGGAAGGATCTACCCTGTATGTTGTCCACTGGTATGTTGTCTACTGTAAGGAGCTACACTGTATGTTGTCTACTGTGAGGATCTACCCTGTATGTTGTCTACTGTAAGGAGCTACACTGTATGTTGTCTACTGTGAGGATCTACCCTGTATGTTGTCTACTGTAAGGAGCTACACTGTATGTTGTCTACTGTGAGGATCTTCCCTGTATGTTGTCTACTGTAAGGATCTACCCTGTATGTTGTCTACTGTAAGGAGCTACACTGTATGTTGTCTACTGTAAGGATCTACCCTGTATGTTGTCTACTGTAAGGATCTACCCTGTATGTTGTCTACTGTAAGGATCTACCCTGTATGTTGTCTACTGTAAGGAGCTACACTGTATGTTGTCTACTGTAAGGGACTACTCTGTATGTTGTCTACTGTAAGGATCTACCCTGTATTTTGTCCACTGTAAGGATCTACCCTGTATGTGGTGTGACCTGGTACTTTGTCTACTGTAAGGAACTACCCTGTATGTTGTCTACTGTAAGGAACTACCCTGTATGTTGTCTACTGTAAGGATCTACCCTGTATGTGGTGTGACCTTGTATGTTGTAGACTGTAAGGATCTACCCTGTATGTTGTCTACTGGAAGGATCTACCCTGTATGTTGTCTACTGTAAGGATCTACCCTGTATGTTGTCTACTGTAAGGATCTACCCTGTATGTTGTCTACTGTAAGGATCTACCCTGTATGTGGTGTGACCTTGTATGTTGTAGACTGTAAGGATCTACCCTGTATGTTGTCTACTGTAAGGATCTACCCTGTATATTGTCTACTGTAAGGAGCTACCCTGTATGTGGTGTGACCTGGTATGTTGTCTACTGTAAGGATCTACCCTGTATGTTGTCTACTGTAAGGATCTACCCTGAATGTTGTCTACTGGAAGGATCTACCCTGTATGTTGTCCACTGGTATGTTGTCTACTGTAAGGAGCTACACTGTATGTTGTCTACTGTGAGGATCTACCCTGTATGTTGTCTACTGTAAGGAGCTACACTGTATGTTGTCTACTGTGAGGATCTACCCTGTATGTTGTCTACTGTAAGGAGCTACACTGTATGTTGTCTACTGTGAGGATCTACCCTGTATGTTGTCTACTGTAAGGATCTACCCTGTATGTTGTCTACTGTAAGGAGCTACACTGTATGTTGTCTACTGTAAGGATCTACCCTGTATGTTGTCTACTGTAAGGATCTTCCCTGTATGTTGTCTACTGTAAGGATCTACCCTGTATGTTGTCTACTGTAAGGAGCTACACTGTATGTTGTCTACTGTAAGGGACTACCCTGTATGTTGTCTACTGTAAGGATCTACCCTGTATTTTGTCCACTGTAAGGATCTACCCTGTATGTGGTGTGACCTGGTACTTTGTCTACTGTAAGGAACTACCCTGTATGTTGTCTACTGTAAGGAACTACCCTGTATGTTGTCTACTGTAAGGATCTACCCTGTATGTGGTGTGACCTGGTATGTTGTCTACTGTAAGGAGCTACACTGTATGTTGTCCACTGTAAGGATCTACCCTGTATGTGGTGTGACCTGGTATGTTGTCTACTGTAAGGATCTACCCTGTATGTTGTCTACTGTAAGGATCTACCCTGTATGTGGTGTGACCTGGTATGTTGTCTACTGTAAGGATCTACCCTGTATGTGGTGTGACCTGGTATGTTGTCTACTGTAAGGATCTACCCTGTATGTTGTCTACTGTAAGGATCTACCCTGTATGTGGTGTGACCTGGTATGTTGTCTACTGTAAGGAGCTACCCTGTATGTTGTCTACTGTAAGGAGCTACCCTGTATGTGGTGTGACCTGGTATGTTGTCTACTGTAAGGATCTACCCTGTATGTTGTCTACTGTAAGGATCTACCCTGTATGTGGTGTGACCTGGTATGTTGTCTACTGTAAGGAGCTACACTGTATGTTGTCTACTGTAAGGATCTACCCTGTATGTGGTGTGACCTTGTATGTTGTAGACTGTAAGGATCTACCCTGTATGTTGTCTACTGTAAGGATCTACCCTGTATGTTGTCTACTGTAAGGAGCCACCCTGTATGTGGTGTGACCTGGTATGTTGTCTACTGTAAGGAGCTACCCTGTATGTTGTCTACTGTAAGGATCTACCCTGTATGTGGTGTGACCTGGTATGTTGTCTACTGTAAGGATCTACCCTGTATTTTGTCTACTGTAAGGATCTACCCTGTATGTGGTGTTACCTGGTATTTTGTCTACTGTAAGGAACTACCCTGTATGTTGTCTACTGTAAGGATCTACCCTGTCTGTGGTGTGACCTGGTATTTTGTCTACTGTAAGACCACCCTGTATGTTGTCTACTATAAGGATCTACCCTGTATGTTGTCTACTGTAAGGGACTACCCTGTATGTTGTCTACTGTAAGGGACTACCCTGTATGTTGTCTACTGTAAGGGACTACCCTGTATGTTGTCTACTGTAAGGAACTACCCTGTATGTTGTCTACTGTAAGGATCTACCCTGTACGTGGTGTGACCTGGTATTTTTTCTACTGTAAGGATCTACCCTGTATGTTGTCTACTGTAAGGATCTACCCTGTATGTTGTCTACTGTAAGGGACTACCCTGTATGTTGCCTATTGTAAGGATCTACCCTGTATGTGGTGTGACCCAGTACCTGGCGTGAGGTCGTAGGAGTGGGAACAGTATACGTGAAGACTCCAGGGTGGCCCAGAAGTTGGTTTTACAGGTAAATTCAGCCTGCTCAGCAAACGGTGCTGGGTCCGCATTCTGGAACAGCAAAGAATTAGAGCAAATCTGAGACATTAAAACACAAGAGATGTTTGCAAAGAGTTGCAAAACACAGGAGGACATTAATTATGATCAAGAAATAACACATGCAAGATGAACTCCCCACCTAATGACACAAATTCTCCTCTGGAAATAAAACATGCCCGATGAACTCCACACCTAATGACACTGGTAGACGATATTCCCATTAGAGGGCATTGATCACCAACCATTATAGGTAGCTCTGGAGGGTGGGAGGTTAAAGGTAGTGTCACACACAGCGGTAGACGATATCCCCAGTAGAGGGTATTGATCACCTGCCCTTGGAAGGTAGTTTTGGTGGGTGGGAGGTTAGAGGTCGATATCCCCAACAGTTTGTTCAATTGACATCATGTAATATACACAACAATAGATTTCACTATTATGCAATTCCTTCTATCTAACATGTCAATCCTTGGAAGGTTACAAAGCTCTGGAAGGTGGGACGTACTGTGAGGCAGATCAATTTGTTCCATTTTTTTTCATTTAGAGATAAGCCTTGCATTTAAAATCATTTATGGTCACAATAGGACAATACCTTCTTCTCATTTCGCAAATAGCATTTTAGCAAAAACTATCCACATCAGAAAAAGATTTTTACCCTGTATGCTATTCCAGCATTGTTGACCAAGACATCCAATCCCCCGTAGGTGGTCTGTAGGAATGACTTCAGTCGCTCTACGCTTGACTGGTCGTTGATGTCCAGCTGATGGAACTTGGGCCGCAAGCCTTCCTTGTTGAGGTCAGCAACAGCTGCCTGGCCACGACCTTCATCTCGTGCTGTAAGGTAGAACAACGATGGAATGGGCGTAATACTTCTGTCAACAGTACTTCCGTTCCGTCGCTTTGTTTGAGCTTAATTTGGTTGGAAAGCCCACGATGATGCAGGTCCATCACCTGGGGTACAGCACTGGGACAAATCTTGGACTTGACTCCATGTTCAAAGGATTCTAGTTAACCTTGGAGATGCCATCTTCCCGAGGCAAGGGGGTTAACTGGAAAGTCCAGTTTACACCCTTGCCGAACTAAGATAGAATTTCCAGGCTCGATTGTAGCGCCACCAGTGGCTATAACGGAATATTTCTCTTAAATACAGACCAACAGATGGGGTCACCACAGTCAAGTGACAGTTATCTCTTGAACACAGACCTACATAATATGCACCACAGTCCAGTGACAGTTATCTATTGAACATAGACCTACAGATGGGTGCACCACAGCCCAGTGACAGTTATCTCTTGAAAACAGACCTACAGATGGGTGCACCACAGTGAAGTGACACTTATCTCTTGAACACAGACCTGCAAATGGGTGCATCACATTTCAGTGACAGTTATCTCTTGAACACAGACCTACAGATGGGTGCACCACAGTCCAGTGACAGTCATCTCTTCAACACAGACCTACATAATATGCACCACAGTCCAGTGACAGTTATCTCTTGGACATAGACCTACAGATGGGTGCACCACAGTCCAGGGACAGTCATCTCTTGAACATAGACCTACAGATGGCTGCACCACAGTCCAGTGACAGTTGTCTCTTGGACATAGACCTACAGATGGGTGCACCACAGTCCAGTGACAATTATCTCTTGAACATAGACCTACATAATATGCACCACAGTCCAGTGATAGTTATCTCTTGAACATAGACCTACATAATATACACCACCGTCCAGTGACAGTTATCTCTTGAACATAGACCTACAGATAGGTGCACCACAGTCCAGTGACAGTTATCTCTTGGACATAGACCTACATAACATGCACCACAGTCCAGTGACAGGTTTCTCTTGAACATATACCTACAGATGGGTACACCACAGTCCAGTGACACTTATCTCTTGGACATAGACCTACAAATTGGTGCACCACATTTCAGTGACAGTTATGTCTTGAACACAGACCTACAGATGGGTGCACCACAGTCCAGTGACAGTCATCTCTTCAACACAGACCTACATAATATGCACCACAGTCCAGTGACAGTTATCTCTTCAACACAGACCTGCACATGGGTGCACCACATTTCAGTGACAGTTATCTCTTGAACACAGACCTACAGATGGGTGCACCACAGTCCAGTGACAGTTATCTCTTGAACATAGACCTACAGATGGCTGCACCACAGTCCAGTGACAGTTATCTCTTGGACATAGACCTACATAATATGCACCACAGTCCAGTGACAGTTATCTCTTGGACATAGACCTACAGATGGCTGCACCACAGTCCAGGGACAGTCATCACTTCAACACAGACCTACATAATATGCACCACAGTCCAGTGACAGTTATCTCTTGAACACAGACCTACATAATATGCACCACAGTCCAGTGACAGTTATCTCTTGAACATAGACCTACAGATGGCTGCACCACAGTCCAGTGACAGTTATGTCTTGAACATAGACCTACATAATATGCACCACAGTCCAGTGATAGTTATCTCTTGGACATAGACCTACATAATATGCACCACAGTCAAGTGACAGTTATCTCTTGAACATAGACCTACAGATGGCTGCACCACAGTCCAGTGACAGTTATCTCTTGGACATAGACCTACATAATATGCACCACAGTCCAGTGACAGTTATCTCTTGAACATAGACCTACAGATTGGTGCACCACAGTCCAGTGACAGTTATCTCTTGAAAACAGACCTACAGATGGGTGCACCACAGTCCAGTGACAGTCATCTCTTCAACACAGACCTACAGATGGCTGCACCATAGTCCAGTGACAGTTTTCTCTTGAACATAGACGTACATAATATGCACCACAGTCCAGTGGTAGTTATCTCTTGAACATAGACCTACATAATATGCACCACAGTCAAGTGACAGTTATCTCTTGAACATAGACCTACAGATGGCTGCACCACAGTCCAGTGACAGTTATCTCTTGGACATAGACCTACATAATATGCACCACAGTCCAGTGACAGTTATCTCTTGAACATAGACCTACAGATTGGTGCACCACAGTCCAGTGACAGTTATCTCTTGAACATAGACCTACATAATATGCACCACAGTCCAGTGACAGTTTTCTCTTGGACATAGACCTACAGATGGGTGCACCACAGTCCAGTGACAGTTATCTCTTGGACACAGACCTACATAATATGCCCCACAGTCCAGTGACAGTTATCTCTTGAACATAGACCTATAGATGGGTGCACCACAGTCCAGTGACAGTTATCTCTTGAACATAGACCTACAGATGGGTGCACCACAGTCCAGTGACAGTCATCTCTTCAACACAGACCTACAGACGGGTGCACCACAGTCCAGTGACAGTTATCTCTTGAACACAGACCTACAGGAGGGTGCACCACAGTCCAGTGACAGTTATCTCTTGAACACAGACCTACAGATGGGTGCACCACAGTCCAGTGACAGTTAGTAAGTATCCAAGAAAATACTTATCATTTCCAAACTTAAAGTCAGCTCTTTTTTAACTTTACTGGACTCGGGCAAGTGTTTATTAACTTTATAATTTCCGTATATTTCACATCTTTACAATGGCCGCATTGTGAGTATATTATCAACATCAACTGAAGGTCGTCAGTTGTAAACTATAAGCAGTCTCGTCTCATGTCAACACTCCTCTCTGTTCCTTACTTGTCAACTTGCCTACATGCTTTGAAAAAGGGTTCCTTACACCGGTAGGGTGAGTGAGTGAGTGAGTTGAGTTTGACGCCGCTTTTAACAGTATTCCAGTTATATCACGACGTGTCAGCTTAATGTGGGAGGAAAGCCCAAAGTGATGCAGGTCTCAGACGTTTACGACTTCGGTGAAACCCACGAGCACGTGTATCGTGCTGACAAACCTAGAAACATAATCGGGGCGAGCCAGGATTCGAACCCACAATCATAGGTTTCTGGCATGTCCAAGGGGCGCGACTCTGCACAGCGAATCGCGGCGCCCTAGATGACTGGGCCACCCGTGCCCCCCACACCGGTAGGACACGGACGGGCTACAAACAGTGTTTATAACTGAGGTAAACATGTTCACATCGTCACGCATTCATCTGCTGATCTTTTGCCAGAAAGTTGATTCATGTTTGCACATTAGTTTTATTTATCATGATTCAATCTAATATCAATCAATACAGAGATTATATTATCAACAGTTGAACGACTTTGAACACCTGATACATCAGCTTGTGATGCATTGTTGTGTGCAAGACAGCTTGTGCTACAAGGTCCATGTTGACAAGGTATTCACTGTCACAACCATCAGTGGTTACCTGATCCAGTTTCCAGGATTCACAAACTAAGAGGGATTGCTACATGTAGCAGCAGACACCATATACCAGTGCAGGATCTCTGGTAGCAGGAGTCCAGGAGGCCCCGACAGCTCCGACTTGCTCATCAAATATGTGAAAAGTCGAAGTCCTTCTCAGTTTTAAATACTGTCTGAATATTTCTTTTAACAAGTCTGAACCTGAAATTAAACAACCCAATACTGTTGCACTTCCTTAATATTGGATATATTGTTAGGCATTATGTTAGCATCTACAGCCCTGGTTGTTAAGGATTGAAGACTGACAACTAGAACTCCCCTCCTTGCAATGATATCATGCATATCTGGAGTTCATTGTGAGGTTCAAAGCATATTCCAGAAACAATGACAAGAATCTTGAAGGAGCTAACAAACACCGTGATTTAGATCTAGATTGTATCCCCACGTTTACACCAGCAGCATCTTTCCTCCTTGCAAATGTGGCAAATAATGTTTTGCTAGAAGGCCAAACGCTGGTCTTCTAAGCATGATGAACATATTCAGTACAGTAAATATAACATAAGATAACTTCATCTTCTACAGTTGAATATTTATGAAAGATCATGCTGTGTAATCTTCACATATATCAGTTGAAAAAGCCACATTTTTGGATTTCCATTTAGATCACACATCAAGTAGGAACAGTGATATGACTCAATTAAATTGGATCTGTCATCATGATCCTTGACTATCATCAAATTGGTGTGAGACATACAACATGTCTTGGCACCAACCTTCGATCATGGCACTGATGACCTTATAAGGAACTCTTCGCAGGAGAAGGCACCCAAGTAGGCAAAAGGATCTTGTGGACAAATCTGCATGATGGCATTTGATACAGTGTATTTACCTGTCAGGCAGACATCACCATCATAGCTTTTACACAACCCTCGGACGACAGCAAACCCAATACCCTTGTTGGACCCCGTCACCTAGAAGAGAAAACACACCCTGAAACACATCCAGGTAATAAGGTTATGTACCCGGGAAATCATCCATCGCAATAACCTTGTGGGGGGCCCAGGTTAGAACAGGTCCACAGCACCCCGGGTTAGAATAGGTCCACAGCACCCTGGGTGAGAATGAATCCACAGCATCCCGGGTTAGAATAGGTCTACAGCACCCTGGGTTAGAATAGGTCTACAGCACCCTGGGTTAGAATAGGCCTACAGCACCCTGGGTTAGAATAGGTCTACAGCACCCTGGGTTAGAATAGGTCTACAGCACCCTGGGTTAGAATAGGCCTACAGCACCCTGGGTTAGAATAGGTCTACAGCACCCTGGGTTAGAATAGGCCTACAGAACAGGAGTAAGAAACACAGAATTGAGTATGGAATACTGTAAGGGACATTATCGCGATCTCGCATTCTCGCAATCTCGACCTTTGGAAACGAGGTAAATATGCCCAAAACACGAGAATGCGAGATCGCGATAACGCATTCTCGTGTTTTGGGCATATTTACCTCGTTTTCAAAGGTCGAGATCGCGAGAATGTCCCTTATAGTATTCCATAATTGAGGAATTATTCCCTGCTACATATTCCCCCGTCAGCAGTAGGCACATCCCCTTTTGAGTGGACAGTTGTCATGATTGATGTATGAAAAAACAAACACCCATAACTGCTCTTGATAACCGCTGTCGACACAAACAATATTAAAGTGCGTCCCTCGGGCTGCAGTATTTTCTTCTCTGTATCTATTATCTACATTAATGAGTCGAATAAACCCGTTCATTTCAGACGCTATCTGGGTACAATGATATGCTATTTGGGTGCGATGACACGATATGGTGTTTTAGATAGCTGGATGACACTGGAAAATACAACCCTCACTTTGAAGCCGAATAAATCTGTTACAAATCCCAAGAAATATGTACATGCTGCAGTTACATTTACACTTCATCTTATAACACTTATCCAAGGGACAGAAATATCGTATCCGACACTATAAACCTATCAATTGTCATGTAAACAATGTTCAAACAAACAGGAGATGATCAAAGGTTTATACTCCACATTAATGCTTCGAATAAACCCGGCATCTGTAAGATGAATCCACACCCTGCAAAACAACATTTTCACAGTTTTGAACAATCTATGTACAATGTTTTGACCATTCCTCGGTTGTACTTTTATATCCAGATTTATAGCTGGATCACACAAAGCCTAACTCATGAGACACGGGGAACTAGACAGTTGGCTAATTTAGTACAACACAGGCTCCACTTTCCTATACTTTCTGAGCTTTAAAGCGAGTGAGTTGTCAAGTGTACTTCAGCTAGATATGACACAGTATGTCAGTCTAATGTCTGGATGAGGAAAGCCAACAATTACATTGACATTTCCTACTCGATCTGGTCAATCTGGAGTGGGCCAAGATGCCAAATCCCCACAGCTGACACAGTAGCAAAGAGATACCAATCAGATAGATGACTACACCATCCAGCCACCACCCACCACCCCCACCACCTCCACCACTCCCACCCACCCCTGACCCAGCGTTATATGGGGGAGGGTGAAAAGCCACAATCAGAAAACAAAATAATATCCTTAACTTATGTTCATGTTCCTGACCACTTCATCTTTGATGGATAGAACAAGTAAAAGGATAAAAATAAGAATCAAACCAAATATCATAAATTGTTAGCTTCATAAATAAATATTGATCCAATGTAATTTTATGTTTTGTTTCTTGTTTAACACAGCACACATCAATATTCCAGCTATGTGATTGTGGTCTTAAACAAAATTAAGTCTGGAGTCTGGACCAGACAATCCAATAATTGACCTCATGAGCATCAACCCATATAATGACAAATATCAAATAAAATTCAGTGAACATTGAACTAAGACTGGCCAATTTGATACACACTTGCCATATCCACACAAGGTACTTGAAATGTATAATGAGCAGTTTCATCGTTATATATATGTTTTTTAATATTAATTTATTACAAGATTACATAGAGTATGAACATAGTAATATAAGTATATATATTTTGAAGGATACCAGTAAAACTTAGATTCCTAAATGAATTCTTCATAATGAAGTATACATGAAGTGCAGATCACTTTATTTTTCAGTGACATATGTTTTGTAGAAAACTGGAAAAATGTATTTAATTGGGCCAGGGAATTCCCATGAATGGTAATGACGTCATTGGGGAAATACCCACTCACAAATGAGTTCATGTACCCATGTCTTTGCTAAGAATGTTCCCATAGTTAAATGCGATATAGATTAAAACGACTTACAGAAAGCTCTAATGGACGGTATGGGCTTTTGAGCTAAATGTCATCTACTGCAAGCGCCCTCGCCGGGGCGTGCTGCTGTTTATCCCGAGCGCAATAAGTAGGTCATCGCTGCTCGGAGCATGGTAGACTCCCTCAGTTGCCATACGGACACAATATACTCTAGTTTACTTGAATAGTTCATTATGTAACCTAAGGTAATTATTTTATCTGATCTTACCACAGCAACCCTTTTTGTACTGGTCATGGTCGATGTTGTGATGACACTGAAGAAAAACAGCCACGCCGACAAAATATGTCCAGGTCAAAGTTGAAAAGATGGAATGTGGGGGCAGTGTCCAACAATACGCGCTAAGATTTATCACAGGTCGTTTTGGTGTGAAGGTCAAAGTCAATGTGAATATAAAATGCTGTGAGTGAGTAATGTAGATACCACGTGTGGACAGTTTGTCAGACTTTAACATGTTTCACTTTAGTTCAAATCATCGAACTACGTTTACTTCACCAGTACGCACCACAATGAACATTATAATTGTAGCTTCGCCTTAGTCGATATTCATGCGCTGATGCATCTTTATTTATTCCCAGATATATTCTTGTTCGTGGTACACTTTTTATATAGATACAATATAATAGCAGTAGGGACACGCTTGTTCAAACCCGATGCACTGTAGCCATGTAAATACGTCTGACTTACTGATAAATTAAGTACTGAGATTAAATAGGGTGTAACGTTGCGTTCAAGATTATTGCACTTATAAAGCGACGTGCATGCATGCATGTGTGTGGCTCCTTGTACAAGTCCGGGGTAATCGTACCCGGAGCGCCTGTCATCGTACCCAGATAACACACTCTCTGGGTAGGATGACACGCTCTCTCGGTACGATGACACACCATCTGGGTACGATGACACGCTATCTGGGTACGATGACACACCATCTGGGTACGATGACACACTATCTGGTAACGATGACACCCTCTCTAGGTACGGTGACACACTATCTAGGTACAATGACACGCTCTCTCGGTACGATAACACCATCTGGGTACGATGACACGCTATATGGGTACGATGACACGCTATCTGCGTACGGTGACACACTATCTGGGTACGATTACACGCTATCTGCGAACGATAACACGTTATCTGGGTACGATGACACACTCTCTGGGTACGATGACACGCTCTCTGGGTACGATGACACACTATCTGGGTACGATGACACACTGTCCAGGTACGATGACTTACTATCTGGGTACGATGACACGCTGTCTAGGTACGGTGACACACTATCTTAGTACGATTACACGCTATCTACGTAGGATAACACGTTATCTGGGTACGATGACACAGTCTATATACGATTACACGCTCTCTGGGTACGATGACACACCATCTGGGTACGATGACACGCTCTCTAGGTACGATGGCACGCTATCTGGGTACGATGATACGCTCTCTGGGTACGATGACACGCTCTCTGGGTACGATGACACACTCTCTGGGTATGATGAAACGCTATCTGGGTACGATGAAACGCTATCTGGGGACGATCACACACCATCTGGGTACGATGACACGCTATCTGGGTACGATGACACGCTGTCTAGGTACTGTGACACACTATCTTGGTACGATTTCACGCTATCTGCGTACGATAACACGTTATCTGGGTACGATGACACACTCTCTAGGTACGATGACAATCTCTCTGGGTACGATGACACACTATCTGGGTACGATGACACGCTGTCTAGGTACGATGACACGCTATCTGGGTACGATGACACGCTATCTGGGTACGATGACACACTATCTGGGTACGATTACACGCCATCTGGGTACGATGGCACATTCTCTGGGTACAATTACACGCTATCTGGGTACGATGACACTCTATCTCCGTACCATGACAAACTCTCTGGGTACGGTGACACACTATCTGGGTACGATTACACGCTATGTGCGTATGATGACACGCTATCTGGGTACGATGACACACTCTGGGTACGATGACACGCTCTCTGGGGACGATTACGGGCTATCTGGGTACGATTACAGGCTATCTGGGTACGATGACACGCTATCTGGGTACGATGACACGCTGTCTGGGTACGATGACACATTCTCTGGGTACGATGACACGCTTTCTGGGTACAATGACACGCTCTCTGGGTACGATTACACACCAGCTGGGTATGATGACACGCTATCTGGGTACGATAACACGCTGTCTAGGTACGTTGACACACTATCTTGGTCCGATTTCACGCTATCTGCGTACGATAACACGTTATCTGGGTACGATGACACACTCTCTGGGTACGATGACAATCGCTCTGGGTACGATGACACACTATCTGGGTACGATGACACGCTGTCTAGGTACGATGACACGCTATCTGGGTACGATGACAAGCTATCTGGGTACGATGACACACTATCTGGGCACCATTACACGCAATCTGGGTACAATGACACGCTATCTCGGTAGGATGACACGCTGTCTGGGTACGATGACACACTCTCGGGGTACGATAACATGCTATCTGGGTACGATGACACACTATCTGAGTACGATGACACGCGTTCTAAGTACGATGACACGCTATCTGAGTACGATGACACGCTATCTTGGTAAGATGGCACACAATCTGGGTACGATGACACGCCATCTGAGTGTGACTGCACACTATCTCGGTACGATTACACACAATCTGGGTACGATAACACGCTATCTGGGTACGATGATACGCTCTCTGGGTACGGTGACACGCTATCTGGGTATGATTACAAGCTATCTGGGTACGATGACACGCTCTCTGGGTACGATTACACCTTATCTGGGTACGATGACACACTATCTGGGTACGATGACACACTCCCTGGGTACGATGACACATTCTCTGGGTACGATGACACACTATCTGGGTACGATGACACGCTCTCTAGGTACAATTACACACTCTCTGGGTACGATGACACATTCTCTGGGTACGATTACACGCTATCTGGGTACGATCATACGCTATCTGGGTACGATGACACGCTCTCTGGGTACGATGACACCTTCTCTGGGTATGATGAAACGCTATCTGGGTACGATGAAACGCTATCTGGGGACGATGACACGCTATCTGGGTACGATTACACGCCATCTGGGTACGATGACACGCTATAGCTATCTGGGTACGATGACATGCTATCTGGGTACGATTACAGGCTATCTGGGTACGATTCCAGGCTATCTGGGTACGATGACACGCTATCTGGGTACGATGATACGCTTTCTGGGTACGATGACACGCTGTCTGGTTATGATGACGCACTCTCTGGGTACGATGACACGCTATCTGGGTACGATGACACACTCTCTGGGTACCACTGCACACTATTCGGGTACGATTGCACGCTATGTGCGTACGATGACACGCTATCTGGGTACGATGACACACTCTGGGTACGATGACACACTCTCTGGGTACGATTACAGGCTATCTGGGTACGATGACAGGCTATCTGGGTACGATGACACGCTGTCTGGGTACGATGACACGCTCTCTGGGTACGATGACACGCTGTCTGGGTACGATTACACACCATCTGGGTACGATGACACGCTATCAGGGTACGATGACATGCTGTCTAGGTACTGTGACACACTATCTTGGTACGATTTCACGCTATCTGCGTACGATAACACGTTATCTGGGTATGATGACACACTCTCTGGGTACGATGACAATCTCTCTGGGTACGATGACATGCTATCTGGGTACGATGACACGCTCTCTCGGTAGGATGACACGCTGTCTGGGTACGATGATACACTCTCAGGGTACGATAACACGCTATCTGGGTACGATGACACTATCTGGGTACGATGACATGCTATCTGGGTACGATGACACGCTATCCTGGTAAGATGGCACACAATCTGGGTACGATGACACGCTATCTGGGTACGACTGCGCACTATCTCGGTACGATTACACGCTATCTGGGTACGATGACACGCTATCTGGGTACGATGACAAACTATCTGGGTACGATTACACGCCATCTGGGTACGATGGCACATTCTCTGGGTACAATTACACGCTATCTGGGTACGATGACACTCTATCTGGGTACGATGACACACTCTCTGGGTACGGCTGCACACTATCTGGGTACGATTACACGCTATGTGCGTACGATGACACGCTATCTGGGTACGATGACACACTCTGGGTACGATGACACGCTCTCTCGGGACGATTACGCGCTATCTGGGTACGATTACAAGCTATCTGGGTACGATGACACGCTATCTGGGTACGATGACACGCTGTCTGGGTATGATGACACATTCTCTGGGCACGATGACACGCTCTCTGGGTACGATTACACACCAGCTGGGTACGATAACACGCTATCTGGGTACGATGATACGCTCTCTGGGTACGGTAACACGCTATCTGGGTATGATTACACGCTATCTGGGTACGATGACACGCTCTCTGGGTACGATTACACATTATCTGGGTACGATGACACGCTATCTGGGTACGATGACACACTATCTGGGTACGATGACAAACTCCCTGGGTACGATGACACACTCTCTTGGTACGATGACATGCTATCTGGGTACGATGACACACTCTCTGGGTACAATTACACACTCTCTGGGTACAATTACACACTCTCTGGGTACGATGACACGCTATCTGGGTACGATGACACGCTATCTGGGTAGGATGACACACTCTCTCAGTACGATGACACATTCTCTGGGTACGATTACACGCTATCTGGGTACGATGATACGCTATCTGGGCACGATGACACGCTCTCTGGGTACGATGACACACTCTCTGGGTATGATGAAACGCTATCTGGGGACGATGACACGCTATCTGGGTACGATAACACGCCATCTGGGTACGATGACACGCTCTCTGGGTACGATGACATGCTATCTGGGTCCCATGACATACTATCTGGGTACGATGACAGGCTATCGGGGTACGATGACACACTATCTTGGTACGAATACACGCTATCTGGGTACGATAACACGCTATCTGGGTACGATGACACACTATCTGGGTACGATTACACGCCATCTGGGTACGATGGCACATTCTCTGGGTACAATTACACGCTATCTGGGTACGATGACACTCTATCTGGGTACGATGACACACTCTCTGGGTACGGCTGCACACTATCTGGGTACGATTACACGCTATGTGCGTACGATGACATGCTATCTGGGTACGATGACACACTCTGGGTACGATGACACGCTCTCTGGGGACGATTACGCGCTATCTGGGTACGATTACAAGCTATCTGGGTACGATGACACGCTATCTGGGTACGATGACACGCTATCTGGGTACAATAACACGCCATCTGGGTACGATGACACGCTCTCTGGGTACGATGACATGCTA